AAGTACTCGTGCGAGATATGCGGCTTCACGACCAACAACAAGATCTCGTTGAGGATGCACCATCGGCGTGTCCACGAGCGTGATTATCGTTACCGTTGCGACCAATGCGACAAGGGTTTCATGTCCAACTACGATCTGGAGGATCACAAGACCAGCCATCTCGAGACCAAGGCGTTCATCTGCGAGTTCTGCGGGAACGGTTACTCGCAGAGATCGTATTTGGTATCTCACAAACGGGTGATGCACGGGATCAAGATGAGCACGCCCAAGGCGTTCCAGTGCAACATATGCAACAAGAGAAGCTTCGCCACTGAGCAGGAGCTACGCAGCCACTTGAATCTGCACTCCCAGATGTTCCTGTGCGCGGAATGCGGCCAGAAATTCGCGACCAACTACGCTCTCAAGCTTCACTGCCGGAGGCACACCGGGGAGAAACCGTATCAGTGCCCGTTCTGCCCGAAAGCTTTCGCCAGGTCGCCCGCGCTCAGGGTCCATAAACTTACCCACACGGGGGAGAGGCCGTACGTGTGCAACATATGCGGGCAGAGTTTTACGCAGAGGAGCAGTTTGATGGTGCACCACAAGAAGCATCCTGGAAATCATCCACCGCCCCCTCCCCTGCCGCTCACCAGACTCGCCAAGGACGCGAACAAGTCATAGCGTTTCTGCACGCAGGAATGATCGGAAGGAAGGGGATTAGGGATCGAAACGGATCGAACTCGCTTGATATTTGCTCGGACGGATTTTCGTCTCGTCGAGGGTTTTCGTTTTTCCTTCCAAAGGGAAAAATTCCGTCTTTTGCACGTCCAATCCGAATCTCTTACGTTACGCTTTTGATTCCATTTGCGCTTTTTTTTTTTTTTTTTTTTTTTAAGTTTCTTTTCCTTTTCTCGTTTCCGCTAATTAAGCCCAACTTAAGTAAGTTCAACACGAGGAATATAACTCGAGCGTTTTTTGTACATGGTCGATAATGGGTAATTGTTTATCGTTCTCGCTTGAACAACGAGCAGTGGATTATTTATAACGATATTTTTATAATTCAGAATAAAAAGCTGCTTTATCTTTATAAATCTGAAGTTTTGCAAAACGGGGGAAATCGCGCGCCCTGCATATCTTACTGATATAACAGTTCAACGCTGCTTTAATCCCTTAGCGTTATTTTGTATCTGTTTAAATCTCGAATTATTATGAACTATTATTGTACAGCATTCTGGGGGAAAGAAAAAAAAAAAAAAAAAAAAAAAAAAAGAAAAAAAGAAAAAAAAATCGCGGGAAATAATGAAGCTTTTCTAATAATAATTGATGATTCGAAGATTGACTTCGAACAAAAATTGCTTCGTTAGTAAAAATAAAAAATATTCAAGTTGATCATTATCGAGAGAAATAAATATGTACATAAAATGATGTACTTAAGCGAAAGTTGATTGGTTGGTGTAAAGTACAGTAAATGAAACGATTGTGAATTCACGATTGGAAAGGAGTGAAAATACACATATTGGCGGTATATAATATAATAAATAGATCGTTTAAGTGTGAATCGAGCCTTACGAATGTCGATCATCGATAATGAAGAAGGGAAAAAAAAAAAAAAAAAAAAAAAGAGAAAGAAAAGAAAAAAAAAGAGAATGAGAGAGTGGGAGAGTAAGTAAGAGAATAGCGTGAGAATGGAAGCGAGTTTCGTGAGTTTTCGTCGGTTGTTCTAGAGAAGCTGTGACAATTTTATTAATGTAAGTAGACACTGACTGTAAATTCACACATTAACCCGGAGATCGAATTGTTTCAGTGCAATGTTCGACGCATTCATTGCTTGTACTGAATTCTTTGTTCCTTTAATTAAATCCTTTTCAGAAATCGCTCGATTGTTCTCACTATACATGATTACACTCACTCTGCGTTATTTTTACCCGCATCTGATTCCTCGCCTTTTTTTTCTTTTTTTTTTTTTTTTTTTTTTTTTCAACACATATACAGCATATTTATAAAAGTTTCGATCATCGGAACAGGAATTGCTCTCTGAATAAACGAGACGCTCAAAGGAAGCAGATCTATCACCACCGATATCTTCTTGATTTTCTTCCTCTCCTTTCTTTGTTTTTCTCTCTCTTTCTCTCTCTCTCTCTGTCTCTTTCTTTCTCTCTCTCTCTTTGTTTCGTGCAAACTTAGCGTCGTTTTCGATCACGTATTTACGTTCTGACTAAACGAATGGATGTTTCAGGAGGTCTACGATCGCGGAAACATCCTTGGACCAGGATAGAAACGATCGAGTAACCACTGTACAGGATTCAGTGACGTTGAAAATCAAATTGGAACGCAACGATTCGGATAACTCGGCGAGAAATGAAATTAACGTCACGAGTAATTATTTAGAGAGGAAAATCGACGAGCCGATCCTCGACTCGGTGAAAACTGTTTTGGTGCCGGTCAGGGATCTAGTGACCAAGGAAGTAAGGAATATGTTGGTCCCTGTTGAAGTTAGGGACGAGACCGGATTGAACGTGATCAAGAGTGTGCTTATACCGTTCGAGGGAGACGACGGATTGGTGTCTTACGAGCTTAAAAAGGTGATGGTGCCTATCAAGCCGGAGTTGAGTTTACGCCAGAAGAAGGTTGAGAGCAGATTCGTGGCGAATCAGGCTAAGGACAGGCGGTTGAGTTGCAAGGGAGGCGGCGAGAGGAAACGAAAGAGAAGCGAGGAGGGCGACGAGCAAGAAGGGGGGAAAGAGATATTATTGGAAGTAAGGAAAGAATCAAAATTGAAATCGAAAACTGACGCGAAAGGGGAAGTGGACGAGATATTGGATACCTTGAGGAACGTTTGTCCGTTCTGCGAAAAGTGTTTCAAGGACGAGAAGCAAATGCAGAAGCACGCCCTGAAAACGCATAAGAAGCCGTACAACTGCGACAAGTGTCACAAAGGTTACTTCTCGGATCTGGCCCTCGAGGAACATCGAAAAACGCACGAGGTGATCTCGTTTCATCGATGCTCCGTCTGCCAGATGCAATACAAAACCGTGACAGGGTTGAAGCATCACAGGATCCGCGAGCACGCCGACATAGACCCGAAATTTATCTGCGACTGTTGCGGCAAGAAGTTCAAATTAAAATTGGACCTGGCCCTTCACATAGACAGGTCACACATGAACGCCACCCACATCTGCAGATTCTGCGGAATGGCCGTGAAGAATATCGCCCACCACGAGATGAAGCATCAGGAGAATAAAGAGATCGTCTATCCGTATTGTTGCACCGTCTGCCCTAGAAAATTCAAAGCTTGGAACACGTTGGAGAATCACTTGCTGATGAAGCACAAAGCTTCGAACGTGGGATCGGACATGTTGCGAACGCTTTGCCAGAAAAGATTCGAATCCAGAAGCGATTTCTATCAGCACGTGTTGCTCAATCAAACGGAGGTTAAGCAGCACAAGTGCGACGTGTGCGGGAAAATCTTCACATCCGAGTACAATCTTCGCAATCACGTCGCTCTACATTCCCAGACTTACGCGTGTACTCAATGTGACAAGAATTTCACCACCAATTATTTGTTGAAGCTGCATCTACGGAAGCACACCGGCGAACGGCCGTATCAGTGCAAACTATGCTTGAAGACGTTCGCCAGATCTGCTTCCCTTAGAATGCACAGATTGATCCACACCGGTGAGAAACCGTACGCGTGCGATTTGTGCGGGCAAAGTTTTACTCAGAGGGGCAGCATGATGTCGCATCGCCGCAAACATCCAGAAAATCATCCGCCTCCTCCTCCCCTGTTGCTCACCAATTCCGAAAATAACGAGCATTAGACGGAGAGAGGAGAATCGAGAAAATGTTGTAATTTTTAAAATTGAGATTTTTTCTATAAATTTGAAGTTTTTTTTTTTTTTTTTTTTAATCTAATGATTGAAAATGAAATATTTTAGGGATATAGGGAACGATGTAAAAGGTGGAGTTAGAAAGTAGGGGAAAATTGTATTCACATTTTGTTTTATTTCTATTTTTTTTTTTTTGTTTGTTACATACATAAAATCAAGCCATCAGGTTTTGTATAATATCGCCGTTAATTTTCACATTTCTCTTTTCTATATTAATTTTATTTATACGTAATGATATTTTTGTAATTGAGAAAAAGAGAAAGTTGCCTCTAATTCGATGGCTTGCGGAAGAGGGTTTCCATTGTATGTATTTTCTTTGTTCGAAGATTCATAGTATTATCGTGCATTATTAACTCTTTTCTATATCCTTATATTATATTCAAACGTTGTAAAAAATGATTTATAAATTATCTTTCTTTTTTTTTTTTTTTTTTAATCATACTTAAATTTCATCGTTACCAACAACAATACTCAAACCATATATAAATCCACGTTTTGTACAAAACTAATATAATATGTTAAGATTATATAGTGTATGCGATGAGATAAATATCTACTTTAAAAATATCAGAAATTGTTAAAAGTTAAATTGATACCGGAAGAAAGAATTATTGTAAAATATAATTCTTATGAAAATACGAAGGGAACAATGCAAATAGAAAATATGAAATCGTATTACCTGTACATTTGTGAGTATCGCGTCGATTGTTGAAAGATGAATATATGCGAAAGACAAATTTTAATAATTTAAGTGATACATTATAAATTTGTTAATTTCGAATTTATATTCGATGCATTTATTAATTGTTATAGGGTTATTTGTTTCTTCGATTAAATCAATTTTTAATAATTGTTAAACACGCGTTGCACAATTTTTGCATCCATTCGATTATTTTCCTTATTTTACTTTTTTGTTAATTATAACGTAAGATCTATAGAAAAATGCGTATAAAATAAATAAGATTATTGACTGTTACAGAACTTGACTGTTTTGCAACCAGATCTACCCAATTTCCAACTATTTTTTGTTCAAATATTTTCATTAACTCTTCTACCACTGACTAAACGAATCGATGTTTCAGGAAGTCGACGATGATGGAAAGGTCCAAGGAACTAGACTCGATACAACGATTGGTTACGTTATGTCCCAGATCGAATCCTCCGGATCAGACAAAGATTGATCAAAGATTGCCATGTGAAAAAGAATTAAAGGATAAGTTACCTAGAAAAATTCAAAAAAATTGTAACAAGATTAATAATAAACCAGAGACGGTGAGGAAAAATGAAAACAATTTAACGAATGATTCATCATTGAATGAAGTTAACGATGGTTTAATTTCGAACAGGAATATCGTTGACAATAGTGTTTGTTTAAAAGATGTTGACAGTGATTTATCATCGTCTATAAAAACGAATGAACGAATGAAGGATGATCCAAATGAAAGAACGCAGAATAATTTGTGCATAAATTCAGTGCCACAGGTATTGGTTGCAATCCCAGATCCGGTGACTAACGAGATTAAAAATATTCTGATGCCAATTGAAACGAGAGATGCCTCTGGATTGAACGTAATTAAAAGTGTCCTTGTACCCATTCGTGACTCGAATGGTGTTATATCGTACAATATTAAAAAAGTAATGGTGCCTATCAAACCGGAATTAAATTTGTGCCAGCCATCGAAAGTCGAAAACAAGTCGAATATAAGTAAACCTGTCAAAAATGAGGAAAAAGAAGACGAACGAATATTAATATCAAACAAGAATGAAACAAAAATAAATGACGAAATAACGTTAGACGTTAAGAATAATGTGCAACATTCTTCATTGGAAGAAGCAAGGAAAAATTTAACGAAAGATGAGGAAGAGGAGAATACAGAATCGCAAATAATATCTATTCAAGAAAGCCAAAAAGAAGAGACGGATCAAATATTAGAAACTTTGAAAAATGTTTGCCCGGTATGTCAAAAAGTATTCAAGAGTGAGAACATGATGCAAAGGCACGTGCGCAAGTTTCACGAGAAGACGTATCCTTGTGACAAATGTAACAAATGTTATCCATCAAAATTATCACTGGAAGAACACAAAAAGTCGCACGAAGATGATTCTTACTTACAATGTTCCATGTGTCACTTAAAATACAAACGTAAGATAGGCTTAAAGTATCATCAGATTCGTGTGCACAGTAACGTGGATCCAAAATTCATGTGCGATTATTGCGGGAAACAATTCAAATTGAAACTGGATCTGAGTGTCCATATCGAAAAAATACACATGGGAATCGCCCATATCTGTAAAATATGTGGCAAGGTAGTAAAAAATATCACGCACCACGAGTGGCAGCACGACAGGGCAGCCAAGAAAGTCGTTTACAAATACAGTTGCGATCTTTGTCCAAAAAAATTCACGACTCGTAACAATTTAGACAACCATTTGCTTATGCACAAAGACGGATTCAAATGTACTCTTTGCGACGAAGTTTTCTCTTCGCCATTTGCACTTGGCAGCCATAAGAGCACGAAACACAGACCTGGCGCCACCTGCCCTATTTGCGAGAAAGCTTTCAACAGTACCAGTAATTTTTATCAACACGTGCTCACCCATGCTGGAGTCAGACCGTATAAATGTGACATTTGTGGAGAAGATTTTACGCAAAGATCCAGTGTTCTGAGACACCGAAAGACTCATCCTGGACCTCTTCCTCCTTTAACAGATCCTACTCCTATCGCGGATACTGCTAGGAAGATATTGGAACAACTTTCGAGTGCTTGACTTGTTAACGTATTTATAATGTGCAACTATATTGTTGTGAACAACGTTAATTTTGTTTTAAAGGATTTATCGAGAAGCATGAAGAGAAATGGATGCATTTTGAAAATACATGGTGCTTCTGAGTAAATATTGTAGTACAAAGTTTGGAAGAAGATGTAAGATCTTTGTGATATGGTAATTGAACATAGCAGCGTATGTGTCAAGAATCGTTACCTTAGTATCGATTGATTTTATCGTTTCATTGTTAATGAAATTTAACATTTGTGAAATATTCTATTCTTGAGACTGATTTTGATTTCTTTTTTATATACAGAGAATTTTATTTTAAATTTGATAATGAATAGATATTTGAAGATTTATATATAAAAGTTATAAGTATGTATACTCATTTATATATTAGAAACGTGTTAACGTTTATCTAATACTTATTAAATATTAACATTTTATTTAGTATTTTAATTGAATACTATTTTGTAATAAAAATTTATAGAAAATTATAAAAATATCCGTTTAAGTTATTCTAAATTATTTTGGTTAAACGATTTGAGATGTAATATTTTTTAAGTTATTGGTTATTCTCAGTTTAATATATTTTTAATAAAATTAATTTATCATGTGTCGAAATACAAAAGTGATCATCCAATAATTTCACACAAATGACGTGAAAATACATTTAAATATTTCAATTGTTTTAATATAGTGTACATTAAATGACGCAAAAGTAAGTTACATTTTTCATGTATTCAAATGTTATGTAAATCATGTTTTCATATATTTTTTATCAATACATACTTGATTATTTCTATTTTAAGAAAAGATAATGTTATTCAACTAATATGTAAAATAATTTTTTTTTTTTTTACGAATATTCAAAGTTTTGTTCTTTTAGACTAAACAAATTTTAAAAGTTTAGAATTATAATTACTTTATATTCCATAAATAATTATAATAAATCACATGTTTTTCTCATACACTGACACATAATATCCTTATTTCAGAGGAGAAGCTGACTCAGAACAGCAAAGAAATTCAGAAAGAAATTCGTCTTATTGTTTAATACAAGTTGATTTACAAAATCAGGAGAAAGATAAAATATCAAAAATATCGAATCAAATTTCACGGACGAATTCCACAAAATCAGAAATTCATCTGGAAAAATCACAAAAAACAAAGTCTTTTCATTCACACGAGCTCTAAAAATTTACAAGATTTTACGAGAAATCTAAAAATTTCAAAAATAAATTTTCAAACAGCCTTGTTGAAAAGAGAAGAAATTAAATCAATTATTCCAAAAAAGGACGAAGTTAAGGTAGATCAAATATTGAATAATATCAGAAACACTTATCCGTTTTGCGAAAAGCGATTCGATAACGCGAAGAAGGTTGAGAATCACGTAATTTATGTGCATAGAAAACTATATGCAACATGTATAAAAGAATATATACAGCTCGAGCATTGGAGGAACACAAGATAATTCATCGATCGGATTATTTCTTCGAGTGCAACATCTGTCACGTGAAATACAAGAGCGAAGACAACTTGAAGAGGCACAATATGCGAAATCATAGCAATTACGAGTCAAAATACATATGCGAGTATTGTAGCTACAAATTGAAGACAGACTTGACTCATCACATGAAGAGATCGCACGTCTCAGAGTTACAGATTTGTCGATTCTGCGAAAAGAAAGTGAAGAATATGAAGGCACACGAATGGAGGCATCAGAAACGTGACAAAGAAACAAAATACGTACTTGTTATACTCAAGATACGTTTATTTTTTTAGTAAAATATCATGTTGTTGTAATGAAGATTTTGTTTGAGGTTGTGAAAATTTGATGATGTTATTAAAAGTAATTTTCAATGGAAATTTAAGAAATTGTTTGATTCATATCAATTGATATGTATGGCAGATATATATTTAAAAAAGAAAAGATTAACTACAATGTGTGCAAAGGTATTTTTTAAACTTCTTATGTAGATATATGTAGATATATATTCTTTACACTCTAAGTTAATTGAACAATACAAAAGAATATTTATTATAAAATAAATATAAATAAAAATAATAACAATTCAAATGATAAATGAAATGGAATTGAAAATGTGTTGCATATTAATATATAATGTAAGATTATAAATAAAATGGAAAATATTTTTGAATACTGCAAAATTATTTATAATAAGTTGAATTTGAAATATTAAATTCTAATATTATCATATACATATATATTTTTGTAATAATAATGAAGAATATTTTTGTATATTTATATATATTCAAATCATTATCTTTAGAAATAAAGTCGTGAGAATTATTAATTTCAACATATACAAAAATTCAAAATTTATGATTTGACGTATTAAAAAATATTTATCTTAACAGATAAATTTGAGATTTTATTTCAAATTATTCTTCAGTATTACAGGAAGAAGAAGACACGTTAAGTTTATCAAAGTTAAATTTTATTGTTATATTAATAAATACTCCCATAAAAATACTTCATAATTATACCATAAATATACATGATTATTACCCTTTCATCTTCCATTATTATCATCATATTATAATAAAAATAATTCAATATTCTTTTTTTCTACAGTGTAATTAATACATGTGTAATGTGTCTTTGAAACACACATCCGAGAAATCTTATCGCACAATCCAGGGTTCTAAAAGAAGAGCAAAATCAATTTTTAAGAAATTTTAAATATTCCAGGTGCATGTTCTCGTTCTTGGTTTAGCAAAAGTCAAAAAATAAAAAAAAAAAAAAAATAAAAAAAAAAAAAAGAAAAGACAAATCACCTTATCCTCTCACACACCTGATCCCAAAAAACGTAATCGACTGACTAGCTTTGTGGTTTTTTAGGTACAATGCGCTAGACCCACTCGCTCCAACTTTTCTGATAGTAAAGCTAGAAGATAATTACTTTCGGATACCAACGTCGCTGAGCGTGTTCATGATGAAGGAACCGAATCCCAACGGAGAGACGAACGCCCAATCGCCGAAAGACGACGTGGAATCGGCGAAAACGAACAACAACCAATTGGAAGAGAAAACGAAGGATAACACGAGCACCGACGACCCATTCGACGATCTCGACGACGCACCCTTGGACTTCCGGAAGAGGCAAGAACAGGAGAAGAGCAAATCGAGCAAACAAGTCCCAAAGAAGAAGGTGCACACCTGCGAGATCTGTTACGCCACGTTCGACCGTAAGAGCAAACACACCAGGCACATGTTCAAGCACAGCAACTCGAGGCCCCACAAATGTGCCATTTGCTCGAAAGGGTTCAAAACCACGGCTCATCTATCCAGGCACATGGAGGTTCACGACGAACCTGTCAATTTGCACGCGTGCAGCCTGTGCGACTTCAAAGCGCGCACCAAACCCTACCTTAAGATCCATTACATCAGAAAGCACACGGAGGATTATAATTATAAATGCGATCAATGCGGAAAGATGTTCAAGGTGCAGTCGGATTACACGACCCACGTGAAGGATCACGACACCGAATCTTGCGTCTGCGATATATGTGGCTCCTCTTATCCGAGCAAAAGCTCCCTCTACTTCCATAAACATTACAAGCACAAGACTAAGGTGAAGAAGTTTCAGTGTCAGACGTGTAAGAAGAAGTTCAAGACGCAGAAGAATCTTGACAGTCACATGGAATTGCACAAGATCAAATACGTTTGCGAGCAATGCGGTATGGAGTTCAAGAGCAAATACGGCCTCACCAAGCATCTGAGGACTCATTCCGGGGAGAAATCTTATTTGTGCGCGATTTGCGGGAAGACATTCGGGTGTTTGAGCTCGCAGAAGATCCATCTATTGACGCACGTCGGCGAACGGCCTTACGTTTGCGACATCTGCGGGCAGAGCTTCACGCAGAGATCGCCCATGATGCTGCATCGCAGGAAGCATCCAGGGGTGCATCCGCCGCCCCCACCGATTAAAATAACGAACCTACTTCATGGTGTACAGGACAAAATAATCGTGAACAAGAGCAGCAAGTAAATGCACAAAATCAGGTGGACAATGTACATTCTACTTTTTTTTTCTTCCTTTTTTTTTCTTTTTTTCTTTCTTTTTCTCTCTCTCTCTCTCTCTCTCTCTCTCTCTCTCTCTCTCTCTCTCTCTCTCTCTTTGTTTGATGTAAAGTTAGAATGTGAAAAGTATGGTGAACGGGAGGATCGATTTTTCGAACGATTAATGTTAATGATTTGTTAGAGTGAAATTATTCTTTCGAGTTGAAGCGTTTTCCTGTGAAATTAATTGTATTCCATTAGGTCGTTCAATTTTGAGGGAGGTTAATAAGAAGTTTTTTGTGGGATCGTACAACGTGTACAAGTATTAGGTCGACAGACTACGTCATGTTCATCAGTCTACGTGATACGTAAGTTCTTCTTTTTTTAATTTTGAGAAAAATAAATTTGATTGGATGTGATAAATATTTGAAGTAATGACAGATACATTGCAAGATAATCTTAGATTTTTAGATACACAACGAATTTATTAATTATTAATATCGATTAAATTGTAACGAGTTGTATAATAGAATGTTTTTTAGCAATTCCGGATCATTTTATATAAGATATTTAAATTATTCTTTTTCTATTGATCCGTAATTACAATTAATTGTACATATTTTGTTCATACATTTTTTCCCTGTTTTTCTGCTCACTTATAAAATATCAATTCATTTGCTTCTAACATTATATCTTTGTTGGAAAAAATTGTAAGCGTAATTTTTAAATTTAAATAGCTTGTTTTAATCCAATTTTGTGTATGTCGATTCAAGCGAAATAAATGTGATATTTTTGTATAGTCTTGAAATATTGTTTCCTATAAAAAAATTAATCATTTCGCTTGAACAATTTTTAAAATCATTACCATAAACTTTGTGATGATAAAAATGTTAATATTGAATTAATTATTAATTTTTTTAACGAATTTGTTTAAAAATTCGATGTTTAAATTATTGATACACGTTTAATATTTAATTATTTTTGTTTTCGATTCGTTTAACAAACTAATATATTGTATAGAATGATTGTAACATATGAAATGACGTAAATGACGAAAAACTTTTTGACGTAAAAATTTGATATAAAGTTTCAATCAAAAACGCTAAAAATTGATAAGCATGTAAAGATCATAGCTAATATAATATATCATATTGAAACTTAAAAAAAAAAAAAAAAAAATCAAATTTTGTATCGACAAAATGCACGTAAAAATAACTTTTATATAAGTGTAACGTGAAAAGTGTAATATAGATATTGATTTATTCTTACGAAAAAAAATTTATATTACTTGTAAATTTGAAAAAAAGAAATATATAGATACATATATATAAATATATATACATTTCTTATATATATATATATTTCTATATATATATATATATTTCTTATGTATAAGATTATGTAAAATAGTTTTTACGAATTGTATTATTAAGAAATAATGTACAGAAAAATAATTTTTTAAATTAAGAGTAACCTTCTTATTATTAGTTTGTTATGTTCTACTAATTCATTATTTTTCTTTCTAGTGGAGAAGAAAAAAGAAATTAATCGCTAATACATATCAAAATTCAACTTTCAACGTCATTTCTTTCATATTTATAATTAATTATAATTAATTTTACATTTCATGTCCGTCATATATAATAAAGACTAAACCAATTGTAATTACTTACAACAGGTATCTTTAATATATAATTATAGATCTATAATTATTTTAATCGTTTTCTTAATTTCTTTTCAGTAAAAAAACAAAAACTCTAACAATTTTCAGCGACTAAGATAGAACCTATCCATAAGAAGAAAAGACGTTCGTTAATTTCTCTCCTAGCTGATATTCCGTATGTTCTCCACGAAATAAATAAATTATCGCGATATTTTTCCTCCGATTAACATAATTCTTTTTTATTTTTAGGCCGTTACCACGCAATCCTTTTGTACAAACTCTTGTGGTGCAAAAGGTCGATAAATACTTTCTCCTGCCTGTCGAGGAATCAGTATAAAAGCAACCGGAAGAGGATTCTATCGCGACAAATATTTGCATCAAGACTGAAGTATATGAAGAAACATCTGAACAACAACTTGTCGAATCTCAATTACAAGAAACAGATAAACGAAAAACCATCCATATCTTTCTATTCAAATATCTTTAATATATCTTTAAAAATCTTATTTTTAAAAATCACTGATACAGTGGAACGACGACATTCTAACAATGAATCTCAAAAGACCATTCCTGAGGAGCCTCAAAAAAATTATTCTCAACAAAGCTCAACTTTTCAAGGAGCTATTCTCAACTTCAAAGTATACGAATAACATCAAAAAGCACGAGCAACGAACAGAGTTTTTCGTGCAATTACTGTCCCAAGATATTCAGAAGGAAGGATTGATACGACTTTGCACGACAACAGTGGAAAGATATACGAATGCATTCATGTCGAAGAGGAGCAACATATGATCAAGATGCACAACAAGTGTTACAGTTGTTCTAAGATAGTTGCTTCATAAATATATGCAGCAATATTTGCTCAATTATAATTGCGAGATTTTCGGAATTGTGTTTAAATACAAAGCCTCGTTTTTAAAGCATCAAGTATCGCACAAAAATCTTATCGATTTTTTTCGATTTCTTTCATTCTTTTTTTTTTTATTCATTGATATCGTATTGCGATTGAATAAATGAACTGATAGTATTGTTATGATAATTTATAAAAAAAGAGGCCTTTAATATTATGTATAAATAGATGTTATTTAAGTTAGATTCATAAAAATAAGAATAGCTCAGAGAGCTTTAATTTTCTTGTTGAAAATATTGAATTCATATTATTAATGTAATAATGAAAGTTTTATTAATAGTATTACTTATAGATTAAGCTAAAGAAGAAATATTTGTAATAATTGTGAGTATACGCGAATAGGGATTTATTGTAAGTACAAAATAAACAATAGTAAGTATTTATCGTTTTTATTAAAATGTATATTGTATATTATTATTATATTTTATAAATTTTTTTGTATTGTTAAAAATTATAATGTTATAATGTTATAAATTGAAAGTGATATGCAGTGTCCTACGTAAGTATTATAATTGTACATATTGCATAATTTTTGCATCAAAGTTTTCAAAAATATTAATCTTTGACAAATATTTAGAACTGAACATTTGGATGAAAATTAAAAAAATACAAACAGTGATAATAGTGATATAATAATATTCTGAAGAATAGAATTCTAATATATTCAAATATAAAATTTAAAAGTTTACTTCTTATTTTCAGGTGAGTCTTTCTTTTATGAATCTTTTTAATTGTTTTTCTTCTTCGTTTTATTCTAATTAATTTATATTAATATTTCTAATGCGAAAGTATTATTTTGTGTAATAACAATAAATGAATCAATCATGTAGTTATTTGAAGTTTTTCTAATTAATTAACATTTAACGTTAAAAAAAAGTTATGAATTTTATATTTCAAAGAAAAATTTCAAGAATGATCTGCGTTCTATATATTCACAAAAAAAAAAGAAACATTTGATTATTATAAATCCTTCATTATATTTATATCAGTAATGAATAACGATAAAAAAATATTGCAACGAGTATATAGATTATTTTAATCAATATTTTAATCAAATAATCAAAATTATTTTTTATTTTCAACGAAAAGTGAAGGTCTCAATAACATGGCGATTACTAAAGTAGAATATATGTGATAACACAATAAAAATTGGATTTTTTTTTATGGACAATAATAAAATATGATAATATTTAATAATAAGTAATTATATTTACTAGCATTAAATTATTTTATCAATTTATCTATGGTATCAATATTGACGATGATAAAGATGTTCGTGATATTTCTGTTTTTTAGTCATTCAAGTATTTCATCATTAATTAATAAAAGTTTTTCAAAGATTTTATTTGAAATCTACTATAAAATTTAAATGTTTTAATCAAGCTTTTGTAAATAACAAATACGATTAAGTTATATATGTGAATATACAACCACCCTTAAAAATTATAATGAAAATTTATTCTAATCATTTTTATAATATTTATAATTAAACTTTTTACATGTAAAGAAATTAATAACTTATTTCTTAATGAGATACTAACATCAATAATGAAATTGTTTTACCAACTGCAAATAGAATATAAATTCAATAACTTGTACATAATCCTATAATCATTTAACTTCCATTAGAATGCAAGAAGAGAAAATAAATGTACAAGTCTTTTTATCCAGAATTTCATGGATGTCTTAAATCTTACTGACTGATTTCATTCATGTTTTAGGAAATCAACGCAGCATTTAACATCGAAGAGCAAAGCCATCGCTGGTAATCAAACGAGAAACCAATTAAAATCCTCGTACAAATCGTCGAACATTCTACAAAGAAGAATCCTGTTTCGAGCGTCGAAAAATCGGAAACGCAGGAGCAACAGGCGTTTGAACAACCCTTCTAATCGCACTGAAACGAAAAATATTTCCGCCAATTATACAAATTTCAAACAGGGGAAAATAAAGGAGGAGAAAATTACTAGCAATTGTTCCGAGAAATTGAAAAGTAACGAGAATTCTTCGCAGCAGGACGATCTTTACAAAAAGCTTCACGATGGCACCTATACCTGCGACATTTGCCAAACTACTTTCGAACAGAAGAGCAAGATCCTCCGCCATATTACCAGCAAACACAGCTTCCATCGACCGTTCAAGTGTTCGACTTGCGACAAAACGTTCAAGTACAAATGCGACTTGAAGGCCCATCGGTTGGTCCATCAAGATATCGATTCCAGTTTGTTGCATTGCTGCGACAAGTGCGATTACCGGACGAAAACGAAGAACAATCTCAAGTCTCATTACATCAGAAAGCATACCGATGATTACAAATTCGCCTGCGAGCATTGTGGGAAACGTTTCAAGATGGAGTGGGATTTGAAGTTTCACGTCGGGACGCACAGCAATTCCCAGCACATGTGCGACATATGTGGAAAATTTTACACGAGCAGTTATTCGTTGTACAAGCACAGAAAGGTGGCACATCTGAACGAGTACAAGTTCCAATGCAACGTTTGCAACAAGAGGCTGTTGACGCAAGAGAATTTGGACAATCACATGCAACAACACAGTAGAACGTACGAATGCAAAGAGTGTGGAAAGGTGTTCGCCTCGAAGAGGTATCTGGCGACGCACACGACCACTCACACAGGTGTGAAACCGTACACGTGCAACATCTGCAAGAAGAATTTTAGAACGTCTCATATGAGGAATACTCATCTCTTGACTCATTCTGCGGAAAGGCCGCACATTTGTGATCTATGTGGACAATCTTTTAAGAGGAGATATTACATGATAGAGCATCGAAGAAAGCATCCTGATGCTCATCTGTCCTCGCCTCCTGTGCCTCTTGGGAAGAGAAAAAGTGTCATCGAATTGGGAGTTAATACCGTTGCTGGATCAGAGATTTCTTTGTAACATAATTTTTATCGGGTGTTATTATAGATCTCGCAATAAGTTTATCTCTAAGCTTTTGTACTTGTACTATCTGTCTATGCTTTAAATAATCTTGTGCCATTTTAATCTACGTTCCGCTTCAAAGGAATGCTATATATAAATCGATCTAAGATCTGAGAAACGTAAAGTGTATGATAGATTATAATAACAGAACAATGTAATATTTTATGAAAAATGTAAGAATAATTAATATTAACTGTGTTAGAAGACTGTAAGACAGTCTTGTATGTATAGACCGAAATTCATAAAACATGACGAATATTTTCAAAATAATCTGTATATAAGTTTCATTATGTAAACGCGACTATGTAACTATTTTCATATTTATTTATCTCACCCAATAATTTTTTAGTATATTTCTACAATTTTTCTTTTTTTTTTTTCTTTTTTTTTTAATTTTATACGATCACCCTTACACTTTAATTCGTTAAACATTCTACAAACACTCGTACAAACTTCGAACACGAAGGCAGCAATGAACAAAGGCAATGTAATTCCTTAATTAAACAAGATTAATTTTAGTGCAGATTAAAAAAAAAAAAGAACTCATTCCAAACCTTCCACACCTCGCGTATCTCACAAACACCACAAACTTCTATTTAGACACAATTGCATAGACGACTTAGATCAGCAGTAAGTAACGCCTGTGTACAAATACGGGAAGCCGTATTTCGAAAGTAATCATTCCGTTTCAATTGTGTTTTAGGGAAGGTGTCTGCGGCAAGAGGATCCTCACCACGGATTCCTCCGGTCGGTTCATCGTTGGCAAGGACTCGACGCCCATGCAACTTTGGCAGCACGTCGATTCCAATGGTAAATTGCACTATTCGTTGATGCCCGCGTCGAACGACGCCAAGAAGAAACCGGAAGAAGAGAACTTGGACGTTTCCCCCACTCTCGTTAAAATGGAGGACGAGGAGCAACAGAGTAACATTGGGAATCGTTACGTGGACGATTGCGTTCACTTGTGCGAGGTGGCCATCGACTTTTACACTTGCGATAAGTGCAGTATGAAGTTCCCTGCGGAGAGCATGTTGAACAGACACAAGATCTCTCACAAATTGAATCTATCCCGGCTTCGTGGAAAACGTTCGAGCAATGGCCACAGGTTGAAAAGAACGTCGGGAAGGGAGTGTAAGAAATCGTCGAGGAAACGAAGATACGATTGTACGTCGTGTGACTTTAGTTGTGGTAAGAGGTGTTCGTTAACTGTCCACGTGAGAAAGAAGCACGGGCTTGCTTCGGTCAAGGAAGATTCGAGTAAAATCTTGTGCGTGATTTGCGAAAGAAAATGTGACACTCGATCTATCCTGAATAAACACATGGAGGGGCACAGGGACGGGAAAACGAGTTATTTCACGTGCAACAGTTGCAGTTTCTCGTGTAAAAGGAGCAGCACTATAGTTTCTCACGTGGTGCAGAATCATCAGAAGTCGGATATCGGGGAAAGCAACTCGAGGAAGAGGTGCAGGGTGGTTAAGTGCAACGATGAACCGAAGGAGGCGAAGGAGGAATCGAAGGAAACGTGTTCAGAGAGAGATAAATATGGTTCGAGCACCGCACCGTCCGAGTTCGAATGCAAAAGCGAGCCTTCTGTCACCACTCGCGCGACCAAGAAACAGGTTAAGAAGCCTGTCGAGGAACAGTGCAATCTCTGCGACTTCAAATGTTCGAAAAAGAGCACTTTGTACTCGCACAAACGCCAACACAAAATCATGGAGATCAGCGACGTGTACTCTTGCAACGAATGCATATTCAAGACCAATAAAAAGTCGTCTCTGTACTCGCATATAAAAAGGAAGCACAAGGTGGCGAAATCGTGCGCGTCCGATGGCCAGCCGCAATTATTCTACTGCAACCAATGCGACTACAAGAACAAGAACAAATATGAATTAAAAGTCCACGTGGCCAGAAAGCATACGGATGATTTCAAGTTCTCGTGCGAGACTTGTGGCAAGAAATTCAAAGTGAAAGGTGATCTGACTAACCACATACGTTTCAGCCATAAGGAACAACCGGTTATCTGCGATGTTTGCGGGAAAACGTGTCTGAACAGCAACTCTTTGTACGTGCACCAGAAATTCGCCCATTACAAGGCTAAATACGAGTGCCAGGTGTGCAAGAGGCGGATGGTCACTCAGGAAAACTTGAACGAACACATGATTAGGCAGCACGAGAAGAGGGAGAACGTGGTTTGCGAGGAGTGCGGGAAAACCTTCTCCAGGAACAGCAGATTGAAAGTTCACATGAGGATCCATACCGGCGATAAACCGTACACCTGCACTATATGCAACAAATCGTTCGCGCGTAGAACAGCGTTGAAACAACATTTGTTAATTCATACTGGGATCAGGCCTTATGTCTGTGACATATGCGGTAAGGCGTTCACACAGAAACCTGGATTGATCAGCCACAGGAAGTCGCATCCCGGCTCGCATCCTCCACTTCCTAGGGTGTTGATCGATCATATACTGAACGAAGTAATGAACAATTGAGATTGTTCAAAAATAATTAAAGTGATCGTTCAATACCGTGAATGGAAATGATGAACGTTGTCTTGTGCAATTAGTGTTTTTTTTTTTTTTTTTGATTTGTCTTATTGTTAGCGGACTATGTAAAGGATTAAGATACTTTCAAGATATTAAAATAGGGATATACAGATTATCGTCTGTGTTATTTTTACAGTTTATTAGCTTTATTAAAACCTCGCTATGGAGATTTACAATTTTATGTATAAAGGGTTACTTTGTATAAGTATCATTATAATGTACTGTATGTTGCTGAGAATGTAGAAGAGATGAGAAAAGAAATATTTAATTTTTCGTTTAATTATGAGTTAATACTTTGATTTTGTTTTTTGCTTCAACTATCATCTTTCTTTATCTAACGATTATTATCTATTAAGCCAACAATCTGAATTTCATCTCTCAGATTTTCTCTCAGTGACATAGAGTGGCACTTTGAAAGCATTGAAATGAATTGTTTAAATCTTAAAATTGCATATCTTAAATTATTTATAAAAGTATATATATGATTCTCTTGTTTCCGTTCTACGTTAGAATTGTTATTGAACAATTTCGCTCATTTATAACACTCCAGATGTATATAACTGTCTGTAAAACGCATTACAAGATCTTTTTTATGTAATATATCCAACATTGAATTGAAATATTGTTGTATGTACAATAGGATTTATAATCTTCTTCTAATCTTCATTATAATTTCATTACAGTTCATTACAGAAATGTTTATTGATGATGCAGAAAAACTCCTATATCTTTGTTTGACTAATATCCTGTTATTTTACAATATTACTTACACAGAAAAATTGGACAATTTGTCTACAATTGTAAGTCAGATATACTTGTTCTTCTTTCTTTGTGTGGAAATTCTTTGCCTTAGATTCCTCGTGGTCGCAATTACAGATTATCATGTACGAATAAAAATTTCATTCGCGATATATTTAAAGAAAAATAGTGAAAAAAAAAAAAAAAAAAAAAAACTGCAGGCGACACACACAGAACAATCGTCGTCCTGTTTTCGAAGTACCTAACTGACTATTCTGTACTTTTCAGGATTCTAAACGGGGATGGACGTTTTATATACGGGAAGGAATCGATTCCAATGCAGCCTTGGCAAATTGTCGACGTAGAAGGTTGCCTCTACTATGCCTTCCTTCCGACGAATCAAACGCCAAAGCTCGCTGAACGGGAGAGAACTGTCGCAAAATCGGCGGACGACAGTCCGAGGAACAGCGAGGGGGAGGAGACTTTCGTGATCCCGGCCGAGGACGAAACAGGTGACAGCGATCTGTGCCCAATTAAAATAAAGAAAGAGGACATTGACGACGTGTCATCGTCGAACGAGGATAATTACGACGACGCCAAAGGATACGCCTGCGAGGAATGCAACATCTGTTTCCCGGTGATGCAGATGTTGAAACGGCACAGGAACGCGGTCCACGAGCAGGCCCAGCGATACAAATGCAAGGTCTGTTTCAAGATATGCCGTAGCCTGGTCGCGTTCAAGATGCACGTGGCCCTGGAGCATAAAACGGAGGAGGAAGAGGTGAAAGATTCCGAGAGTCTGACTTATGCCTGCAACTATTGCAACTACGAGAGCACGAACAAGTCCACCCTCCATTCACACATCAGTAGAAAACACTCGACGAAACGTATTGGGAGGAGGAAAAGTAGTTACAGGTACACGAGCGAGCCGGAAGAGTACTCGTGTGACGTGTGCGAGTTCAAATGCCAGAATCGGCGCAGATTGAAGGAACACTTGGAACGGAAACACGCGTCCGAGTACAAGTACGACTGCGAGTATTGCGGGAAGAAGTTCAAGGTGAAGGGGGACATGAGGCTTCACGTGCGTTTCAAGCACAAGGAGGGGCCTATCGTGTGCGACGTTTGCGGGAAGACGTGCTCGAACAGCAATTCCCTGTACGTGCATCAAAAGTGGGCCCATTTCAAGCCAAAGTACGAGTGCGAGATATGCAAGAGGCGCATGGTGACCCAGGAGAACCTCGATCAACACATCTTATTGCAACACGAGAGACGGGAGAGCTTCGTATGCGAGGAGTGTGGAAAATCGTTCACCGAGAATCACAGATTGAAACAGCATATGATGACTCATACCGGAGACAGACCTTACGATTGCCACATATGCGGCAAAGCTTTCGCGCGTAGAACGGCTTACAGGCAACACTTGCTTATACACACGGGCAAACGGCCGTATATCTGTGATATCTGCGGTAAGACGTTCACGCAGAAGCCTGGCCTGATTTGTCACCGGAAGTCGCACCCCGGAGTCCATCCTCCCCTACCTGTCGTGCACATAGAGCACATCCTTAGCGATTTCATGAAGAAAGAATGATGTTGCGGCGGGACTGAATCGCGTATGTCGTGCACATTTGACGCCGGTGGTGTGATGACACGTGACGTGAGGAAGATGAGAGGTGTTCTTCTTCCCGCGCGGAGCAATCCTTTCGTGTTCTTTTCATCCGAGATTTTATATTAGCTAATTTAATTGAATTTCGAACTGTTAAATCGATTGTCGAGTTAATTAATTAATAGTAGGTAGAAGAAGGTCTTCCTCGATTAATTGTTAACGCGTTATAATCACACTGCGTTAAATTTTCCATTGATGGAAATGGAAAAATTGCGAGGAGCGTAAATCATTGTTCGCGCAATCATTACGCTACACAATTTTAAATATTTAATTTTTATTAACTGATTTGAATCAACATTCAAGTTTGAGGTTTTTTCAAGCGATCGGTTTTGTCCATGTTTTTATTCAATTTCGTACGCATATTCGAATATAGGAATAAAAAGTAATTTTGTACGATTTCGTTTGTGTAAGATCGATGTTCACGTGATTTTTTTTTTTTTTTTTTTTTTTTTTTTTTTTTTTTTTTTTTTTTTTTTTTTTTTTGTGGAAACCAATTATTTAGGATAGCAAGAATTTGAAATCTATCGTGAAATATATTGTACACAAGATGAAATTGTAAATTTATTTTAGGCGCAATCTCGTGGCAGATATACATATATTTTTCTTGACTATTGTCCAAAATTCTTAAATATAATTGTCTATGATCATTTGAAATAAAACAAAATGATTTTCAATGAAAGATATATCGTTATTTGTCTAATAACAATTAATTAATATAGTAGATATTGTATAATATTTCTACTTTATTATATTAATTTAAATTGAGAATAATCTTTTATATCTTTTTCCATCCCTTTAAATGAAATTTTTTTATTATTATAGTGACGGTGTATAGAAACGAATTGTGAATAACGAAGATTAAATTGTGATTAAGTGTAAATTGAAAAAGTATGAAAACTTGTATACTTTTCTATTGTGAAATGAATGAATAAAATTATTCAGGTAAGTATTATGATTTATTTGATGATAATATCAATAAACATTTATAAATATTTGTAGGCAATAAAAAAATCTCGAGATATTACTTTGAATAATGATGTAATTTTAAGTTTAATCGTACTTTATGTTTCAGGGAATTCAGTTCACGACTATTTCGGGATGCGACAAGTTCATCTTTAACGATTAATCAATAATTGTGCATCCTTGAAGTGCATCCATAAAGAGAAACGATTGCCTTTATTATGGATTTTTACCACTTGATTACACCATCGACGATATGGTTAAAAATAAATTGCATATCTTCCGATTCATCTTCCGAACAAGTATTAAAAATTTCTTGAAAGTTAATAAGACAATATAAATATATTTATTTATTTGATTGATAAAAGACTGAAATGACGATGATTCGTAAGAAAAATTAAAGAAATATTTTTTAATCGATTACACTTCACAAATATTGTCATCCATAAAACATACTGTTTGTATCGTTTTCTACTTGCACCGAATAAAAACTTGAATTTTTCTTCTTCTTTAAACTCTCGAAGAATAAAATTATTAATTACTCAATCTATTGGTAGTAGTAATTTTACTCTTTTCACGTCAAACTCGTCATGACTATTAACTTTGACTGTAAGTAATCAATATAAATAAGTACAATCCTTTTAGAACCCTAATAAACTTTAACCATTTTCCTGTTTTAGGAATGGACAGATCCGCTTCAACCCCATCTCGAGACGGGATATAACCGGCAACATTGAAGAAATGAAAAGAGAAACGAGATCAGCCGAGAAGGCCGAGTGCAAAATTTTACCGACCTGTGACATCTGTCAAAAACAATTTAAGAAAAAATATTTATTAAGAAGACACAAGAAGCTTGCTCATTGTGAAAATGAGGATAAGAGAGACGTGTCCTCGAAAGGGAACACCCTCGTGGAACTAGGATCCCAGAAACAGGAAGCTTTGTCCTGCACCATTTGTGAGTTTCGTTGCAACAAAAGATCGACGATGATAGCCCATCTGGCGCAAAATCACGAGGGTTCCGGTAAAAGTAAATTCACCTGTAAAAGAAAATTCACCTGCATCATATGCGGCCTTATCTGTTCTCGAAAGGAGACTTTAAGATCTCATTTCGTGCGGAAGCACACCCAACATTACGAGTTCTCGTGCGAGCAATGCGGCAAAGAGTTCAAGATCAAGGGTGATCTAACCACCCACATGAGGCTGAATCATCGAGAACCGCCTGTTATGTGCGACGTTTGCGGGAAAACGTGTCGCAACAGCCACAGTTTGTACACGCATCAGAAACACGCCCACTACAAAGCGAAATACGAATGCCCCGTGTGCCACAGAAGATTGGTGACCAAAGAGAACCTTGACCAACACGTGTTGACCCAGCATGAGAAGAAAGAGAAGTCCGTTTGCGAGGAGTGTGGGAAAACGTTCTTCGAGAATCATGATTTCAGGAAACACATGAGGATACACACCGGGGACAAACCATATAGCTGTTCGGTGTGCGCTAGAGCGTTCACCACGCACAGTAGTTTGAGCCAACATTTGCTGTTGCACACAGGAGAAAGGATTTACGTTTGCGACGTGTGCGGCAAGTCGTTCGCCCAAAAGGCCGGCCTCATATGTCACAGAAAGATTCATTCTGGAACGTTGCCACCCCTTCCTGTGATGCATATCGATCATATCTTGAAAGAATTCATGAAGAAATAAATCATTTTTATATGGCCGCTGTGCGTTAGATTTAAGAAATATTTTATCGTTTCTTTTTTCTCTTCTTCTTCTTTTTTTTTTTTTTTTTTTTTTTTTATTTTTTCCTTGTCATTATAAGATTAGTATCTTCGTATCGCGAGCTATCTTCGATCAATCTTGAAAAATTTTCTGAAGACTGATTCAAAGCAATATATATTCTTTCCAATCTTTTCTTTAAATGTATGGAATGAAACTTGAAAGATTTATGCAAACAAGAATTTATCAAAGTTTTCTAAAAATTGTTATTAAGATCTTTTGGGTTATATTAATTGTTATTCTTAGGGAGCAATGAGAGAGAAAAATTAAATGTATTAGATTTAAGCCGCTATTACTACTAGATTTAAGACTACATTAATTCCCTACTGTTTCTTTATTACATAAAATAACCAATGATAATCTTTTATCGTAATTTTTTTTTTACATGGACGGACTTTCTGTAAAAATTTTCCTCGCGTAACAAACAATAAAGTATAATTTTTTTTCTCACCCACGACACGATTTTCGATCTACGACGACAAAATTACATATTATTTTCTCTCGCACTTGTGCTTCACCCTAATCTCTCGCTCTCTTCGCGTAACTAACTCTTCGAGTAACATTCTGAGCGAAACAACTCTGCAACAATCTCTTTTTACTCTTTTTACTATAATCGTAATCGTGAGCAATCTGCGCTAACTCCCTTCTCTTCACACCCCTGTGTGCTAACAATCTGCCGGTTAACAACAATCTCTCCGCGATCTCGCGCGAGAAACATTTTGACGGCGCGCGCCGTCAATTTAATCACCCGTTGAAAAGAGAATGACCGAGCGAAACGCTTTTTTTGAGAGCTTGCAGATCGACAAGAAGCGAGCAAGGGTAACCCGTTAATAACGCAGGTGATCGATGATGTTTCAGGTTCGAGCTCGACACCCTCAACTCGCGCGGTATCTTTATCTACGACAAGGAGTCGGTGGTGATGAAAAAATGGCAGATCCTGGAATTCGATGGGAAACCGTACTACGCGTTTGTACCTGAAGGCGACACGCCGTTGGCAGAGGAGGATATACCCGAGCAAGTGGACGAGGCTGGGAACGAGGAGGAGAAGCAGGATCTCGTGAAGGTGGAGTGTTTGTACGACGAGGAAGAGTTGCAATACGATTCGACCGACGAGAAATTGTACGAGGAGGATGATCTGTTGAACAGAAGCGGGGAGCTCAAGGAGGAGGACGACGTGAAACCGATAATATTAAACGGTGGGATCGAGGGGGTGGAGAACGAGAAGGCGATCGGTGATCTTTATCAGGTGAAGGTTCAAGGTAGCATGGTGACGATAGAGAAGTTGACGTCGAGCGACGTGGAGGAGGCGAAGGAGGTGGTCGAGTATCAGCAGGAGGAGCAGGAGGAGGAGCAAGAGGCGTACAACGATCAGGAGCAGGTGTTGGAGCAGGTGGAGCAGGTGGAGCAGGGGGATCAAGATCAGATAGAGCAGATAGAGTATTTGGAGGAGGAGATGTTGGAGTCGGCGAATAACCACGTGACCCCTACGAAGACGCGCAGGAAGGTGTCCAGGGGGGCGGGCAGCGCCCTCAAGTGCAAAGTGTGCTCGGAGATGTTCAGCTCGGCGATCTCGTTCAGGAAACACGTGGCGTGGACTCACAAGAAGAAGGTGTGCATACAGGAGGATGGCGCGTACATATGCGCTGTGTGCGATTACAGGACGCTGAAGAAGAGCCTGTTCGCGGCACACTTGGAGAGGAAGCACGAGACGTGGTCGAGGAAGCGGCCCAACAACATGTTGTTCCCGTGCGCCGCATGCGGCTTTGTCTGCAGATCGAAGCACTCGTTGCAGTCGCACTTCATAAGGAAGCACACCGATCGTTACGAGCACCAGTGCAAGTTTTGCCCGAAGAAGTTCAAGGTGAAGGGCGACCTGACCAATCACGTACGGTTTCATCACAAGGAGAAGCCGATCAATTGCGACGTGTGCGGTAAACTGTGCCAGAACAGCGGCTCCCTTTACGTGCACCAGAAATGGGCGCATTACAAGCCCAAGTACGAGTGTCACATATGCAAGAGGCGTATGGTGACGCAGGAGAATCTCGATCAACATCTGTTGACGCAACACGAGAAAAGGGAGAAGATCGTCTGCGCCGAGTGCGGCAAGACGTTCACCAAGAAGGACTCGTTCAAGAGGCACATGGCGGTGCACACAGGGTGCAAGCCACACTCCTGCCTGATATGCAACAAACCGTTCGCGAGGAGGTCTCAGTTGCGTCAACATTTGCTCATCCACACAGGGAAGAGGCCGTTCGTCTGCGATATATGCGGCAAGGCGTTCACGCAGAAGCCAGGCCTGATCTGTCACAGGAAAACGCATCCCGGCCCTCATCCACCGTTACCCGTAATGCCGATCGCGGACATCGTGAAAGAGTTCACCGAAGGCTACGTGCAGGAGATAAACGCGCGCGAGAACGAGGAGAGGATCGAGGAGGAGGCGTAGAATCGATGTTGTTCCGTTTTATCCGTTTGATCTTTCTAGACGACTCGAAGGCGACGTTTTTTCCGATACTTTTTCGATACTTAAATTCGATTTCGATCGACGAGAGAAAAGATGCCGCGAGAAGTTTCGTCTTGATTGTTAAAGGTTGTTTGAATCTATATTCGAGAGCTATATCGTCGAGAGAGGAGTTCGACGAGAGAAAAATTTCGATTGGTAAAGGGGAGCGCGATGATAGATAGATAGATAGATGGATAGATAGATAGATAAATTTTAATCTAGTGGAGAGTTGTAAGAGTCTTAAGTTGCGTCTGCTCGTCGTTGAAGGATAGATTAGAATAAGAATAAGTAATGAATTATTATAATTATTGTAATATCGTTTTTACGGAATTTTTGTGTTATCGCTAACAATTTGCTAATTGACTCAATAATAATATAAGTTATTATTCTAGTATTTCTTATAATCGGAGAAAAATCTTATTGAAGGATATAACTGTTTAACGACATAACTTATTAGTTAATTAAGAATAACGATAAAATTAAACATAACTTTTTAATTCCTTAATTTTCTTTCTATATTACTAAGGTCTATATTGTAGTTTAAAATGATAAAGATTGAAAATATTTTTTTTTTTTTTTTTTTTTTTTTTTTTTTTTACAAATTTATCGATTATTCCCTTATTCCTAATCATGGATTTTAAATTATACATGTAAAGTTCCCATTATTATTGGATATCTTACTTTATAAATCAAAATTTTTATCATATATATTTTTACACGTATATCTCTTGGTAAAGATATATTGTTAATTATTATTAACGATAAAATTTTTCGTAATAAAAAAAATACTTACGTATAAATTGAAATTTTTTGAAAAAATGTATGCTTCAACAACGAGTAAGAGCAATAATTCCTTGTTCAATCGAAACAATTATAAAACGCGAATCTTGAAATTCCAAGATACTTTGTATACCATTGAGATTGAAAGATTAAAGACGAACGATAATTATTTTTAGACTTATCGCGTGTAATTGTAAGAATAGAGATATAAGATGTACAATATAATATCAGCCTTGTAAATTGAAAATTTATGTTAAGAAAGAAAAAACAAGAAGAACATAGGAATCCTTTTTGAATTTTCCTTTCAGTTTACCTGTGGAAAGTCTGGAAGTCGGTCTCGACTGGTTTCTAAACTTTTAATATTATTTTAATTTAATCTTTAGTTTAATTTTAGAGTTTCATATTGTTGATAAAAAAATACAACTCGTATTATTATTATTATTGTTATTATTATTATTATTATTATTATTATTATTATTATTATTATTATTATTATTATTATATACGTACATATATAAAATAATAAAAAAAGAAAAGATCAATTTTCCTATAATGGCTGTAAAAAATTGCAAATGAATCGTGTATACATCCTTTAATATGTTAAATTTCAAGTTAATGAAAGGGAATAAAATCATGTTGCATTCTCGATACTAACAATATCGAATAAAATTAAGAAGACTATTAAAAAGCGAGCAAGTATGTTTGCTCGTTTTTTTTTTTTTCCTTAAAATTATTAACGCTAAATTAATGTTTTATAATTTAATACTACTAATGTGTGATGATTCGGTTTAATAATAAAAAAAAAAAAAAAAACAAATAGAGAGAATCAGATTGATTTAATCGCGTTAAAAGATTTTTGCTTAACACTGCTCGCGAAGAAATGGAAGAATTTCATTGATGTCTCGGTAAAACATACTGGTGTCGTTCTATCCGCGTATCGTGAATTTAATCGTAAATTTCATCGGAACTCCGTTGTTACACTCGTTGTGATATGTCTCGACGACACGTTGTTCTATTTGCGAGAGCTAACTCCTCCTACAGAATAGCTATAACACTATAGCACGGTGTGCACTCCTCCTATTCCACTCCGTGTGTAAACGCAATAACACTCGATCGTCTTCGATCGTGTTATATTTCAAGTTATATTTCAAGAGATGAAAATGTAAAAAAAAAAAAAAAAAAAAAATCCACGAGAAAAAGGATGCTCGCGCGATAGAAAGCTACGCCTAGAACGGCTATTTTTCTAAAAATCAATATCTTGCTCTAATAAGGACGACTACGTACATGCTGTGTATAGCTTGAGTTTGAAATAAATATTTTTACTGAGCCCGATCTGTTCAACTATCCTTAGAAATAACACCGATCGAAAAGGAGAAAATGAAAATATATTTTTTACTTTTCTTTGAATATTTTTTTAAAAATATATAAATATCAATTGTAAAGATGAAACGAATATTTTTTTACATAGTCGTAATCGAACTGTGTAAAATGGTTTTAAAGTAATACGCAAGATAAGTATATTTGATGATATTAAACGATCGGGTTGAAACGATAATAATCGATTATTTTTATACGTTTACAGGCTACTACTGTTTTGGATCGTTTAGAAGAAGGTAGAGAAGGTACGATCAATACAGATATTAGAGTCCTTAAGATTTCGTTTTTACCAAATTTTTACAGAAACCATATTTAGATTTAAGCGTTAATCGTTAAAATAATTTGAAAATGCAAAAATTATTTTCCAGTGAACGCTACATTTATATATGTACTTTTTAAGTTCATAAGAACATTTCGAAACTTTTTCCACGCTTTTACCAACGTGATAATCTCGATCATCTCGAAGATATCAAAACTTTTCGTTTTCTTCGAAACCAACGATAACACGATGCGTTCAATTTTCTGTTTTAGAATTTTGGATCCTCTGAGCGAGGAATTCAAGCCGGAACAATCTCTCTCCTCGTTGGAGTTCCCTGATGGATACGTGAATTGGATCGGCAAAGAGAACTTCGAGATAGTATCCACGAATCAGGAAGGGAACAACGTGGAATCTCTTCGACCCGATCAAGCAAAGAAGAAGACTATAACTCGTCTAGAGTGCGACCACTGTCGACGCAAGTTCCTCAAGAAGAGTAACCTGGCCGAGCACTTGAAGAAGCACAAGCACAAGTGTCCTGATTGCCCGAAAACTTTCAGACTTCGTCGATACCTGGCCTCTCACGTGGAAAAGATCCATCGACGCCAAGTGTACGATTGTAGCGTTTGCGAGTACAAGAGCAACAACAAAGGCACCCTGAAGAACCACTACATCCGCCTGCACACGACCAACTACGATTTCTCTTGCGACACCTGCGGCAAGCAATTCAAGATAAAGAAAGCGTTGAATCATCACGTGAAGCAGAACCACAGCGATGCACCTCCAATAGTGTGCGACGTCTGCGGCCATTTCAGCAAGAATCTCCACGCTTTGAAGGCCCACATGAAGTACAGACACTACAAGCCTGAGTTCATATGTCAAATCTGCAGAAGAGGCATGACCACTCGGGAGAATCTGGAGCAACATTTGACTTGGCACGAGACGAGGGAGAAGGTATTGTGCCCCACTTGCGGAAAGAGGTTTAGAGGCCGGGATTTGGACTCTCACATGAGAGTGCACACCGGGGTCAAACCATTCCCCTGCCCTGTATGCGGGAAATCGTTCAGAAGGCAGACTGCTCAGGAGCAGCACGTGCTTATCCACACAGGGAAGAGGCCATACGTTTGCGACATTTGTGGCCAAGCGTTCGCCCAGAAACCGGGCCTTATTTGTCACAGGAAACGCCATCCTGGACCATTGCCACCTTTGCCTGTCGTTTCGATAAAGAACATCGTCACCGAGTTCACTAAGGAGTACACCATGAAGAACACGATTATTAAAATTGAATGAATGGATGGGGGGGAAGGAATCTGTGTGGGATCTGTAGAGTCAGGTCATGTTGGATGTAAGGAAAGGCTGTGAAGGGGGAATGGTAGGAAGTAATAGAGAGATCCATTATAAATGAGATTCAGTGAGTGAATTATTGAAAAGAAGAAATTTTTTTTTTTTTTTTTAAAGGAATTTGTTTAAAGGAATATTTGCATATTGAAATAGTCTAATTCAATTATTTTATCTTGAGTCTATGACTGTTGTTGAATAAATGAAGAAATTGGTTTGTTTCAATCGTACAAGAACAGAGTTTAAATGAGGATTTATGAAAATGAGAGGTATGCATGATGATGCAGTTTTAGATAGAATCTTTTAAGCGACTTTTATATCCTTTTTTCACTGTCGATTTTAAATAGACTTTTTATGTATTATGGATTTTTATAAGTATTCAAGATTTTTATAGATACAGTTATTTGTATCGTTATCTTTATTGACAAGATAATTGAATTTTATATCTTTTAAAAGTATTTTGTATGTTTAATCGTACAAATCTTGTTTGTATTTTTTACTATTGTATATCTCAAACTTTTTAATAAAATTATAATTAAATACAATTGATTAGATATTGCATTAACTATTATATTATAATATAAAAATATTTAAGCGAGCAGAGAAACTTATTATCATTCTATTTTACGAAAGATATAAAAAAAGAAAAAGTAAGTATAAAGAAAAAGTTTGCATTTTTACTTTCAAAAAGATATAGAAAGGAAATTTCTATTGAGAATAAAATAACCGAAAATAATTAAAATCACATTTGAATTATACATCGCTCATTGCACAAAAATCTTTAAGGTATATATATATATATATATGTATATATATATATCTAAAACGAATCGTGAAACGTTCATCATTCTGTTAAAAAATTTGTCAAGTAAGTAAGCTCTCCATACAGAAGCATTGTCACGTTACACCGTGTCGATTATCAAATCCTAACTAAGGAACCACTTCGATCTGTTTTAGTTCACCTGATCCATTGAACGGAAGCGAAGCGAATCCTTTGGAAGATGGTTCATGCGCCATCAAGATAGAGAACTCGTACACGTTGGCGAAGAAGGAACGAAGGAATCGAAATCAAAGGGACGTGAGAGCGAGGAAAAGGACGAGATCGAAGATCGACTCGATCGCGTCCCCGACTTGCAAAGCTAAGAAACCCATCGAATCGAGGAAAGCAAGGAGAGAGGCCGAGTCACTTTTTGAGTGTGACTTTTGCGGTAAACAGTTCAACCGGAAATCGTTCTTGGCGTCTCACATGAAGCAGCACAGGCACCGTTGCAAGACCTGTAACCAAACCTTCAGATTGAGGAAAGACTTGAAGCAGCACACGGAACAAGTGCACGGGCCGGTGTTGTACCCTTGCACCATCTGCGAGTACAAGAGCAACAACAGGTGGACGTTGAAGGATCATTTCATTCGAAAGCACACGAGCAGTTTCGACTATTCGTGCTCCGTTTGCGGGAAGCAATTCAAGATAAAGAACGACATGGTGCAACACGCGAAGCAAATGCACAGCAATGCACCGCCCATTATTTGCACCGTGTGCGGCCACGCGTGCAAGAGCGTGCCCTCTTTGAAGGCCCACATGAAATACAGGCATTACAAGCCGGCGTTCGAGTGCAGCTTGTGCAAACGATGCATGACCACTCAATACAACCTTGACCAGCATTTGCTGTGGCACGAGAAAAAGGAGAAGGTCGTGTGCCCCACCTGCGGCAAGACCTTCGGCCAGAAGAGGGATTTGGATCTTCATCTGAGGATCCACGAGGGCATCAGGCCGTTCTCTTGCCCTGTCTGCGGCAAAAAGTTCCCGAGGCGGACTGCTCAGGAGCAACACATACTGATACACACCGGCCAGAGGCCGTACACTTGTGATATATGCGGGCAGAAGTTTGCTCAGAAGCCGGGATTGATCTGTCACAGGAAGCGGCATCCTGGACCCCTACCACCCCTCCCTGTCATCTCTATTAGGAAGATTATCGCGGATTTTACTCAGGGATTAAATGATGCGACGATAGAGAAAAAGGAGAATTGATCGAATTGAGGAGTGTAGTGATTGATTTCGTACACCTTTTTTTCTTTTTTTTTTTATTAAATATTCGTGGTTCTGGTTCTTGCAATGCTGTCTCGTGATTCTAAGTGTAAAATTAGAGTTGTTTTCTTTTAATATCGTACGATTAATATATTTTTATTGATATCGGTGATTACTAAATTGCAGATGTTTAGACATCATAAAAAATAAAAAATTTTTATTATGCAAAGCTTGAAAGTTTGAATTCAATTTTAAATTCATTTTTTTTTTATCGTGTTTACAAAAATGATATGATTTTTCATTCAAATATTTGCGGCGTAGTAATCATCAGTATTGTTGGTTATTCGTAGTGTTGAATATTATGATTACGTATTAGATTTTTATCCGTGTCGTTATCTTTGATAAAATATTAGGAATAAAAAGAGGAAGTATACTTTTTTTTATTATAAATAACGAATCTATCATGTGAAAAATATTTTATTACGTTTAGAAACTCCAGACAGTATAATTTTATATACGTTGAAAGGGAATTGTATAAAGATGAAATAATCGATTATATACTTGATAGTATATATTGGACAAAATGTTAATGAGGAATTGTCAAAAGAATTTGTACATCTCGTCGTTTTACGAGAGATCGTTGTATTATTCATTGTTTACTTTGTTACAGCATAATTTGTATTAGTATACGTATATATGTAAGTATGTACTTTGTACGCAAACAGGCTTTAATTGTACGTTAAAACGATAATTATTTTTCGGTACGTCCACATTACGTCCACATTTCTCGGAAGATCGAATATATTACTCGAGAAATCACAAGCAAAGCGCTTCTATAATTTTGTACAAAAAAACTTTGCAGAAAAAGTCAATATTAAAAAAAGAATATTACAACATTCAATACTAGTTGAAATTTAAATATTGCTAAATAAATGAATAATTAATCGAATGTATTTATATGTTAAAAAGAAAATTTTGTAAGAAATAATGATGATGATAAAACTTTATGTACATTCAATAATTGTTTATTGAAATCATTGAAAAAATATAAATGCAAACGTCATCTTTCTTCACGTGGTATAATCCTCCATTCCTTCGTTTTCATATTTCAAAATACTTGTTCGCATCTTAATTCTATCAAAGAAAAAAAAAAAAATTTTTTTCAACGAATATACAAATCTTGATCAAAATTATATTACAGATTAATAAATCGTAAAGATCATACATCATTAAATATCGGGTAGGTATGTAATAAAAATTAACAAAAAAAAAAAATTCCCAACAAAAAATATTCGTTACAATCACAATAATTCTTCTAACCATCAGTTTATTCAAACGGATCACGAATCACACGTGTTCTTCATCAACGCCTCTGTTTTCAGGACACGAAGAATAACCTCTCGAGCGATTCACGAATGCATCAAATGCGGGGCCTGTTTCTGCCACATGAGAAAACTGGTCGAGCATCTGAAGAATCTGCACAACATCGACCGAGCCTTCAGCTGCGACGAGTGCGGGAAAACCTTCAGAAGTCCCATGAACATAGCTCGTCACAAATTAATCCACACAGGCTCGAAGAGGTTCGCGTGCGATTTGTGCGATTATAAATCAAACCAGAAGTCGAATCTCGAGAGTCATCGTCGGCGACACATCAAAGATTACTCGTTCAGGTGCGGCCAGTGTCAGAAAGGATTCTTCCTGAGGACAGAGTACGTGGAGCACGTGAACGTGCACACGAGAAAGGAGATCTATCGATGCGACCATTGCACGAAAACCTATCCGTACAAGAAGAATCTGACCCATCACATGAGGACCCACCACGCGAATATTTTACCGGCCGAGATGAAAAGTGGCGCGAAACGGAGACACGTGTGCACGATCTGCCTGGAAGATTTCACGCGGAAACGATTGTTGGAAACCCATTTGAGGCAATTGCACGGGTTGCGCGAGAAAATGGGGCATCTGTGCGATCTTTGCGGCGCTATGCTGTCCTCCAGAAGAAGGCTGATGGTGCACAGGCGGCGTCACGTCAACGAGAAGATCGCGAAATGCGATGTGTGCGACAAACAGTTCGCGAGCAAAGAGAACCTAAGTATTCATCGGCGAGTGCACACGGGGGAAAAACCATACGGTTGTTCTCAGTGTGGAAGAAGATTCGCACAGAGGACCTCTTTGATCTTGCATCTTAGGTATCATTCGGGGGAAAGGCCGTATCAATGCGTGGATTGCGGCAAGGGATTCGTATCGGGAAGTTTTTTGAGGAAACATCGCAAGACGCACGAGAAAACCTCGCAGCTCGAGACTTGAAACGATGTGATAAGAATCTAATATCTCCATCCAACAACACAATGAAAAATAGACGAGTGAATTGTGAAATCATGTTTTTTTCTTTTTTCTTTCTCTCCCACTCTCTTTGTTGTCGATAAAAATAATTTTGTGAATACTTGGAATAAAAAGGATGATGAGAGAAATCTGAACAGAAATTTGTATTTTATTGAAGAATGTATGTCGATGGAGATTTTTTTTTTTACCGTGAATTTTTGTGCGCATTTACAAAAGCATCGAAAGCTTCTTCTTTCTTTTTTTTTTTTTTTTTTTTTTCGACGTACGAATATCAGTGTTGAGAGAATATCATGATGCTTGTAAATGTGTATCTTTGTCAATGAAGATTCCCTCATTCTAGCAACTGGAGCAACGAGCACGACGAGTTTAGCAGCTGCGAAGATTTCAGAATCAAGAACGAGGATGTCCTTTTCGATCCTGAGCAGAAGTGAGTTTCTTCCACGCATTTTGTAAAATTACAATTACAAAACAAAAGGAGGTAATTAGAAACATTTTTGCATTTTATTTAATAATATCCTCGATCTGATGATCTGTATTATATGAATAAAACCAATCGATTTTCTATGTTCAATTTTTTTTATCCAAAAAAAAAAAAAGAAAAAAAATTAAACAAGAAATAAAGAAACGATTCTCTTGTTCTCTCGTTCGAGGATAATTTCGATTTTAAATTGAACTTTCAGATTCGAGGGAAACGAGAAAGTCTGCGATCTGTGCCAAGAAAAGTTTCACTTCGTAACCAGATTAGTGGCACATCTGAGGATCGTTCACGGTATCCATAGGCCCTTCAAGTGTGCCACTTGTGAAAAGACGTATCCGCAACAATTCATGTTGAACGCTCACGTGAAAAAGTCCCATACCCCAAAAACTATACCCTGTAATCAGTGCAGTTTCATGGGGGTGAATGCTACCGACGTGGAGAGGCATACGAAACGACATCATCGAGAGGTGAAATTCACGTGTGAAATCTGCAGTGAGAACTTCGTGGACAAGGATTCTTTGACGACTCATACGACCATGCACAACTTCATGCAATTTCAACAGTGCAATGCTTGTGGTACGACTTTCAATGACGTGTACAGGTATGACAATATTGTTTTTTTTATCAACTCATTTACATACACAATCATACACGTAGTTGAGCGAAGGTAATCGATCAGTGAAGATCTCGAGAAAATTTTAAAAATATTCTTTAAAATTTCTTTCTTCGATCGTTGAATATTATTCGATTTTTAACATAATTTTAAATTGATATTTGGACAAGAAAAAATTTAAAGGTATTAATTAATTTGATTTTTACATAAGGAAAATATAAAAATTATATTTCACTCGTATCATATTTTATATAATACGTTATTTATTAAGTAGAAATTTTTGAAAATAATCTTTCCTAGAATCCGTATAAATTTTATTATTTGCTTCATAGCATATTCAATAATGAATATTTCGAGAATAATGATAAATCGAAATTATTCTCTTCAACAAAAAAGAATACCAACGCTTCTAATATCTCCATCCAACAACACAATGAAAAAAAAAGAAAGAAAGAAAGAAAGAAAAATTATACTCGAATGTCTCAAATTAACACAGTCTGAAGGAGCACAATCGTCTCTATCACTACGACCCAGCTGCATTGATTCAAGAGAAACTCGTAACAGACGATCCCCAAACCGCAGAGCACAAATGCGACGTTTGCGGCAAGGTTTACAAGTACAAATCAGTTCTGAAGCAGCATAAGGTGAAGGCTCACGGTGACATGCCCAATTACGAGAGGCGTAGATATTTATGCGCACTTTGCGGCAAAGAGCTAAAAACAGCGAAAGGCCTCGAGATACACAATCGATCGCACACAGGGGAAAAGCCTTACACCTGCGAGGTATGCGGCAAGTGTTTCGCGTGCGAGACCCTCCTCAGGACTCATAATGTCACTCACACAGGCGAGAGAAAGTACTCTTGCGACCAGTGCGGCAAAGCTTTTACACAGAGATCCACGTTGGTCGTTCACAAACGTTACCATACTGGTGAACGGCCATACGTTTGTCCTCGGTGTGGAAAAGGTTTCGTGACGAGAACCGTTTTGAACACTCATATGAAATCCTGTCGTTGAAACGGGATGAGAGAAGGAGATAGATGGAAGAAGAGAGTAATAGCAGGGGCTTCCAGTATGCGATTGTTTCAGCTAAGACTGGGACTATTTAATATCGTTAATTTTTATAAATGGCTAATTTCTTATAATTCTGTGATTCTTTGGGGAGATTGTCAGAACGTTTAAAAGTTAAGAATTTCAGGTTGGATGGTGAAAGAGTATTTGAAGATGGGTGATCTTTTTGTATTTTTATATTTAAGTATTTAAATATTGGATCGTTCCAATAGTCCCAGCCTTAAATCGAAGTATATATATATATTTTTGTGTATATATATATTTTTTATTTTTATTTTAATTCCAGTATTAAATGGTTCGTTTATAGAAAGTTTATACGGTCAAAAGTACTATTTCTATAATTTGTCGCAAAGTATTTAAAATAGCATGTGGCATAAAAAATCAATGCGTGACAATAATAGAAAAATTCGATAAAGCAGCTAAATTTATATGAAATCGATGTACAGTTCTTAAAATATTGAATTTAATTTTCAATACGTGTCAATAAGAATAGCCGACATCCATAGTGTTTCTTCTATTTGTTTCTTCTATTTCTTGGACAAGCGTGGATTGACACAGCTCGATCGTTTAATACTGGGACATCCTTGTGCAATTTATGACTCTTGAGGTGCTTTTAGAAAACCCTCGAGAAATCAGGGCAACCCTTACGAATATAATCGCCATTCAATCGTCAAGTGGATTAACATCGAAATCGATCGCTTGAAGGAGATATCTTTTTGTAAGTAAGTCCTATCCATATATTGATTATGCATACGTATTTTTTGAGAAAATATGAAATTTTTAAAAATCGATGAAAATAATAATTTAAGACGTGAGATTTTTTTTTTTGCATATGTTTTATACGTCTTTTTAAAATATTTTTAAAGTTTTAAACGTGCAGAGCTCATAATGTCTGCGATTATAAAGCCGTCCTTGACACTAGTATTAAAATGTAACTGATCGTTGTAAATTTAGTTGCATCTGATAAATATCGTCGTGCTATTTCGTATAAACGTAATTAAAAAGTATAATAATTAAAGATAGGAAAAATATGATAAGTGATTTTTCATTTTATGCAAAAAAAAAATTGTTGTTTTTGAGATTCGTTTTTGAGATTAAATATGAACACACCATTTTAAAATGGACTTTTCATATTTTTCTTTTAACCTCTAATTAATATAAGGTTCGATTTTATGATAATTATAAGAATATTTTTCCTTTTTGTCGATAATTCGACAGAATCTTTCTTTCGAGAAGAACTTCTTTTTAATTGATCGTTAAGTCGATGTATCTGATCTTCGAATTTTATATATTATACATGAAAATGTAATTAAATTATTTACGATCAATTAATTAGAAATTATAAAAATTAAAAGTTTTTGGAATAATGTGATATATTTAACATCAATGTAAATTTCTACTTTTTTAGACACATTTTTTTATACTTTTTATATATATATACTATTTACAAGTGATTCATATTGTGCTTGAAACTTGATATTCCATCGTGAAAACAACGAAAATCTTTTCTAGATCTTTTTTACTCAAAATAATAATGAAAATGATTTTTTACTTATTATTTAAGGCTTCCATATATTTTTATAAATTGTTATTACGAGATCTTTTGTAATATCGTATTTATTGTTAAATTAACTCATCCACGAATACTGTCAATTGAGAATAAAAAAGAAAGAAAAGAAAATTAAATTTTCATAATATTCTAAATTTATTACTCAATATTCTATCGCAGCTCGATAATTCTTCGTCATTGAAAAAAAAAAAAAAAAAAAGAAAAACTCTTGGCTCGTATTATTTTTATACACAATTATAAAAGATAGATAAATCTAATATGAAAAAGAAATACCGAGTGTTCTGTAAAAAAAAAAAAAAATATTTAACAAATAATCATAAATAAACTCGAATTATCAAAAATAAACGTAATACAATTAAAAAAGGATAAAAAGAATGAATCGCATCAAAATGAAGGGCGGACAATGTTTTATTTTTTGGCCTTAATAACCAGAGACTCGAGTGGGACAGATACCGGTGGACAGCTGAGAAATTAACATTTCAGTAGAACACCAAAACCGAGGCCGGATCTTCGATACGGAAATCTACTCCTTGTTCCATCATCTTGTGGTCGTAATGGTAGTTGATGTCGTTCAAAATGGCGCGATTCCGGGCGTTAACGTTACGTGGTTTCACATGGATCGTACGAAAATCTATTTCGTTATTTCATTATCTTAAAGATGGATATTTTCTAAACTAAAATTAATTTTTTTTTGTTTTTTTTTTTTTCTAATAAATTAAAAATTGATACTTCAATTATCCCTAATTTTTTAAATAAAGAAAAAAGATTTTTAAAGTTGAAATTGATTGTATTGAATGGGAACAAGTGTTTAGATTCTTACGAGTCTTGTTTTCAGCTTGAAGCTGGCAGATGTCCCGCAAAGTATCAAGACTTCTTATTATACCGTCATATTGTAATCTTGTTAGGTGTTTGCAACGTACCAGCATCGATACGAGCAAATCATCGAGCATCTCACGATTGTTTCTGAGTTGTAACATTACTTCCGCTGTAACGATATAATTAGTCAATATAATTAGTCTTATTAAATACCAGATATTTAATCTACATCTAAAGTCTTAAAACATTTGTGAAATATTTCTTTAGTTTCTTAACTCGAATCGAAATTCAATCGAATCATAATTCAAACGATGCTTATTTTTAAAATATTAAATTCAGTCATGTTAAAAAATGATATTTCCATTATAATTATTCCTTACGTAATTTTATCTGGAACTAATCTATCCATTTCAAAATGGAAAATTATCTTTTAACATGTGTATCAAGTTTCTTTAATAATAATTTTAAACGTATACAAAAATTTGTAATATTATTGAAAAGAAGTAATTTTTAGACTTATTTAAGAGGAAAAAAAAAACGAAGATATATTCAAGCGTTCTTTCAATAACATAGAATTACGCAATTTGGAAGAGACAATAGCCAAAGTACGAAAATTATTACGACAGATAACGCGTGAAGAAATAGAGCATTCGCGGAGAGGAAATGCACAGAATGCAAGATGTGTAGGATTTGGAAGAATTTATTATACCTAGCGTGTTGGTGTAATGGGTAATAAGTAATCCAACAGTGCTTCTGAAATTGCGAGATCTACTCTGATCCCACACATGACCGCTGAACATTTGAAACCTAGCCAATGGCACGCTGGGCAGTAGGAAGTAGCACATATCTTCGTAATGGGATATGTTAACTGAAAATCAAACTTAACAAGCTAAATGATGCATAGAATCACATATTTTCGAGACGCTGAGCGATTCCATTCATATGATTTGTGTGTGAATAGCTTCAAGGCATTAATTATATATCAAGGCTGACCTTGCAACTTCCTTTCGATAAAATATCTCTCGGCTGTATACATTACTACTCATGCATTTAATATACCCTACTTGTTATTAACGAGTGATATATTAAAAAAAAAAAAAAAAAAAAAAAAAAAAAAAAAAAAAACTTTGCCAAGTAATTTTATATAATAACACGAGATAAAATGTAAAAAAAACTGTGATAATTGGATATTCGAGCAATTTCAATATTCATAAATTCTAGAAATAAACGATATTTCAATTCATCATTCGCAACAAATAGAAATGAAATGAATTATTGATACTCGCTACGTATGAATATTCAATACGTAAATTTTATGACGTCTATAAAGTAGCATTAAAAAAATGATAATCTGTGATTATTTAAATTTATATTCTAGAAATAAAAAAAAGATAGCATTTTAAATAATCACAAGAAAATTATTTACTGTGTAATGTATGAATATATTTCTACAGATTGATTTTAATTATTCAAATTAATTTTCGAGAAATACTATTACCATCGATATTAATGATAAAATTAATTTAAAAATAATTCTCTCAATTTCATATCATCACAAAATCATCAGAATCGCTCGGTGCGACATAAAGCGACGTGTAATTTAAAAAAAAAAAAAAAAAAAAAAAAAAAGAAAAAGGCTTCGACAACAGTAATTCCAGCGCAAAAGTAATCATCCGTCTTTAAATCGGATTTCTCGAGTGTATAATTCGTTCTAAATTGCTCGATGCACAATGGAAATTTCCACGAATTACAAAACGTAATAACCATCAGCTCGATATTGTCCCGACGTGGGTGGAAGGAAATCAATGATTACTTTTACGTCACTCTGTATCATATTGTACCTATAGTGTAGGACACTGTGAGCTCCGGACAGACGAGTACCAAATTGTGCCAGGCTGTGTCGGTGATCGTGTGATGTCTGGAATCAGAATCTCTCACCGATATGTGCAGCGTTTTCAACACTCTTGGCGCTGCATTCGTTAAAGCAATTAAAGTCTGGTCGGACAAGGCTGGATAATCGAGCCTTAGTATTGTCAACGCGCGAAATCGGCCAAGCAGACGCAAGTATCTGAAAAGAATTTGAAGGATTTATGATGAAAACAATTCTCGTCGAAGGTGACCATGATAATTTTTTAAAATAAATTTTTTAGATAAAACTTCGATCTATGTCCCCCCAAAAAAGAAAAATCATATCATGAAATTTATGCAAGACTTGCAATGAGAACAATTTTAACAATCAAAATTGCGATTCCGGTAATTAGAAACGAGACTAGCATGTTGAAAATAACACAATGAAATCTATGATCTGTAATTTCTATAAACTACAATACTATAATCTGATGGTATAAAGTCTATGATTTACGATCTAAGAGCTATTATATTGTAAAATGAAAAGTGGGTTTTATAAAAGCGATCTTTGTCAAGGCCATCTCTCGCAAGAATAACCCTTGTCAAGTAATTAGGGCTACTTTTGTGTTCCTGTTGGCAAGATTGTTATTTTATCAGAGTATCGCAATCATTGCGTTCTTGGACGATGATATATCAAGGTGATTTTGATTGATTACGGCACTGGAGAGGAATATTGGTACTTCTAACAATATTTAATTCTTGCTTCTTTTTTTTTTTTTTTTTTCAATGAATAATGTAATTCAATTTTAAAATATTTGCGAAACAAGTGCCTAATATGATCTAAAAATCTAAATATAAAGTAACATAATAAAAATAAATAGAGATATTTCTATTTTATTAAAATTTAATTACGATTAAAAAGAATATAAGTAATCAAAATTCACAGTATAATATATAGCTTGATAATTCTAAATAGAAAAAAAAAAAGAAGATTTGAAATCTTTCGAATAAAAATTAAAAATGAAATTCTCGTCATGTGCATAAATTGAAGTATTCTCTTCATGTCTATGAAAAAAATCTAGAAAATCTAATGTATGAAGAAAAAATATTTTTTCTTTTGTTTAAACTACTAGAAGATTAAGCAAAATATCTAAGATCGATATTTCGACAAGGGAATTAATTACGAAAGAATTATATATTAAAAGAGTAAGTATATAATTATATATTATTATTATTAATTTTACTGTTATCATGATTATTTTAATTTTTTCATATGTGCAATAATGATTGCAGTAAAATTACTGAATTAATAGAGCTGCCTTACACGCCTTGGATTGCCATTAGGCTATTGTTTTTATCATGAATCTTTCGACTCTGTGATAATTACAATAATTATTAGTTAATCGATAGAAATATCTCACGTGCCTTGGATTGCTGTGAGGCGCCTGCCATTCTCGAAACGCACCCCGAAGATCTAGATATGCCAAATGCTCGGTGGAACTTTTCGAAGCACTGGCAAGAAGTCGCAACACGTCGCTCACTCCAAGAGTTGCATTCAGCAGGCTAAGCGTTTCCAAATTATGCTGACAACTATGTGAATGAATATTTGTTTTAAATTACTGAGAATCGAATCCGAGAATGACGATTCATATCAATATTTAAATATAAATTATTAATTTTTTTTATTTTCTTTTTTTTTTTTAGATATTAAAATATATAATTTTAGCATAAAAATTTTAAGAAACTCGCTAATTAATCAATTACCCTAAAAAGTTAGCAAGGGCATATAACAGTTTGCCCCTGTTCCCCCATTTACAAATGAATATCCAATCGGTGAGTATCAGCTTCCTTAACTGAACATTCTTGGCTCGTACGATCGTGAGGAAATCAGCGCCTGCCTCGGCTTGAATATTACGAGTTATGCGAGCTTCTCTTGGCAAGAGATACGGTCGTGACCAAGCGAGTTCCAGGCTTCGTATATGCTGTCCATATTTTGCCTAAATGAAACGAGTTTATCGAATTTCGATATACGTATCATCTACAATAATAAAAAGAATGTAAGATATTCGATATTCCATTGGTAACAATAAATAAATAAATAAATCCTTTCCGTTGAAATATATTCAAGAAATTTGTATTCTTATCAGAATTAAACTCTGTCTATATTTATAACTCGTTTTAAATAGAAAGATTGACGATTAGCCTTCAATAAATATCAATTTAATTTCAATATACCGTGACACGTTTCGTTAATGAATTAGCTGTGATTGTGTAAGGGAAGAGAATGATGGAGGTTTTATTTTTAATAAATATATGCATACGGCTAATTCTCCCGCCAAAGGGAAGTCACCACGCAGATCACGATCGATGAAGACTGTGACGGAACGCCAAAGAATTGGCGACGAAAGTGCACGGTTCCATCGCTGACAGACTTGTGCAACATTGGCACGGTCTCCATGACCGAGGTGACTGAATATCTGCGTCAGTATCAGCTCCGGCAGCTGATCCCACATCTCCCAGTTTCAGCTTGGCCCGTCTTCATCTCTACGTAGCTGAGGCAGCTGTTGCAACCTCGTCAGGTTCTCTTGTCATGCTCCGCGATATCGACTCGATCGTCTTTGAAAATCGCACTGTCAATTGAGTGGAATTCAAGAGATATTAATAGACTTGAACTCGCGTTGAATCGAAGTCGATCGTCATTGAAAATTGTACGATCAATCGAGCAAAATTTTTGATATATTAGAACTTGAATTGAAGATAGTTAGACATTGTAAAGATAGAAAGAAAAGAGAAGAAAAAAAAAAAAAAAGAAGAAGAAGAAAATTGTGAACAATTCATATAACAGCAATTTATTGAATTTTCTCACTATTTGTAATTTTTTGTTTAAATAAAAGTAATAGTAGTTCATGTTCAGAGAAGAAGACAAGAGTTTATTTAATCGAATAATTAAAATTTTGTACCAATAAATGTAGTAATAATTTTAATAATATAATAATAATAATAATAATAATAATAATAATAATAATTTATGCGATTGTATTTAAGAACTTCTGGATGTCGAGTATAATAAAAGATATGGCCTGTTCCAATTGCACTTTATATGTTCTATAGATGAAATTGATAAATAAACGTGAGCCTCATTATAATGATATTACTATTCTTTGCTTATTTTTAAACAACTATGAAATTAAACTATGGGAATTAGAACAAGGATAATTAATTTCTTTCTTTTTTAAAAATATCTCATTTTTTAAAATTTATAAACTAGAAGATTTAAAAATCTATTATTAATATAAATGATTTTCCATTTTGATATAATTGTATTGATCTTTTAAAAGCTACTTGAATTCTGTCCAATTAATAGCAATAGTAAATAGAAAGATTATAATTTTATATAATATGCTTGAAAATTGCCTAAATTGTTATTGCATTAATATTTTATCTCTGTATAATAAGTTTTCCCGCTTATTGGTTTAATGTTGCGGCAAATTTAATAACAGATAACGCAACGAGATGGCGTTCCGGAAGGCTAGATGTTGCATATAAAAGATTTACTATCAGTGTGTACTGAGAGTGCATTCGGTGCACGTGTACTTGGGATTATACGAGTTTGATTGTACGATATAATTTATCAATTACGCAGTGTCAAAGTCTAAACTGATCACTGATCACAATTACTGAATCGTCACTGAAAAACGATATTATATATTCCTTAGGAATAAATAAGTTTGATAGATAATTACATAACCGTTTGTTCTTGGTCTTTGACCCGCATTCTAACCTGTCACGTGCCATCGTTGCATGTAAAAAGTGAACGATATTTAGCATAATATTGATACAACTATAATGCTATCAAATTGCCTAAAATATTACATGCGTTGATAAATATATTACATGTGAGATAGCATTGTCGAAGCTTGAGAATGAAGGAAGAGGTGATTAATCAAGAGTTGGATAAGGACCAATGGAAATTAGAAGCTCAAGCTATTATAAATGACGTGAAACATCATGTAATGGACATAAAAGTATCAGAAAAATTACAAAATAGTAATCAGTTCTTCTATTTAAATTTAATCACATTAGAAAACTTGAAGTTTTGTATAGAACTATCAAATGCTGGTTTTACCATCGTTGGTAATGAGCACGATAACATATCAAATAGAGGAGACGAGCAGTTCGAAACACTATATAGTTTGTTGAATTTTGTTAGTCCACAATATAGATATTCTTTTGGAAATTCACTTATTGATAAACTCAAACAATTAAATGACTTCCAATGAACAAATTCGATTAAAACTTTTGGTATTTTCATTCCTTATTTTTACATTATCACGAAAAAAATTATTACAACGTTAAATATATATATTAACAAATGTTAGATTTAATTATTTGAATATATTTTTCAACAATAATCATTTTAAATTTAAAATAAATTATGATTATCGTCAAATGTATTTTCTCTTTGCGCAGTATTTAATCCGAATCTAGCCGAAGATATCCGAGTAACATAGTAATTTACAAGGACAGTATCGTATTTGGTATATGGTAACAAGTTTTAAATTTTTCTGTTTTTTTAATATGTACTATTATAGTATATGAAAATTCATGAAACATATAATTTTATAATGATATTAATAATATTTTTATTTTCAAACAAATTAGTAATAATAGACAAAAATTATTTTTATTTTGAATTGCTACATAAATTCGTTTTAATATTTTAAAAATTTATTTATTTTTGATTAATATAAAACATATGTTTTGAATAAATCATTAAAAAATTAATAATTTAGAAATAATAATTGAAATTAAAAAAATTTTGGATTCCTGATAAACAAATTTATTATATCTTTTTTAAATGATCTTGAGACTAATAAAATTTATTTAATCATATTATATTATATTTAAAAATAATATTTCAGATTTATATAAATGTTGTGATGGATACTGCAATAGATACGATACTGTGATATTGACGAATCGCGCGTTCCTAGGAAATATCCCTAGGAATCGAAAGATCAGTCACTGCAAGTGGTAATATCGGTTGTGTTTACCCCCTCCTTTACGTTCGTTGCTCTGTGTTCCGTTTGGCGTATTCCACTGTCGAGTTGTGAAGTAACGAAGCGGTTTCGCCGAATGTGGCGTATCGTGTGTGCATTTTATGATGTTTCTGAATGAGTTTACCGTTGATTAAGTGCCTAAGAACGACATAGTGCATCTTGTTTGTTAATATTACAGTAAATAGTGTGACGATGTTAAACGGTGAGCGATGACACGCCCGTGAAAAACGATAACAACAGCTATCCTTTGATTGACCAGAAACGATAGAGAAAACGCAATACGCGAAGGACCCTCTTTGTGTATTTTTTTGTGACATTTATTGGAAAAAACATGCTTCAGCCAAGAGCTACATACATCAAACGATAGAAAAGGTAAGTGACAAATATTTCGGTTAATCGAATGTCAAAAAACCGCGAAATCTTGACAGATCGTTTGTTTTTATTCGATAGTCATGCTCATTTCTCAATATTAACGTGAAAGGGGTGGGACAATTGCTTCCTATATCTCTTTTGAACCTATATAACTGCAGACAATATCGTATGTGTGGAAATGAGTCGCGATAGTAACGTAATAGGTTGCTAAATATTGTCAATCTTTGTTTGCGCATACATGCGTATTTCAAATTTTCTTCCAATTTCACAGATTTTTTATAAATATACTTAGTTTTTCAATGAATCCAAACCACATTAAATGAATAATTTTACCAAATCTCTGCGTTTTATATATTTGACAAGTATACAAAGTGACATTATTATTTTCATTAGAAATTCTTAATTTATATAAAAACCGCGGTATATTTGTTTCATTCATTTTTCATTTTCAAAGCTTTTAGTTGACATTTTCTAATTTATATCGTATAAAATTTTCTGATTTTTTATGATTTCCCTGAATAAAAATAAAAGTTCACATTTGGTATGTTTAAATTTTACTGATAATATTTCCTATAATAAAAAATACATTATGAAGTAAAAAAAGTAAAATATTTTTCAGTATAATATTTAATTTATTTAATGTTTATAATATTTAATTTATTTGTAATGTTAATTAAATTCGATATTTAATATTAAATTATAAATGTTTTTATATATCATATTTTATATTTTAATTATTAATATACATTATAATAAAATTTTTTAAAAATAAAATAAAAATCTATATCAATATTAGTAATTGAAAGATGAATAAAGTATCGTATTTTAATATTGTTTTCTATTACACATGTTGTTTCACGTAATATGTTCGTCATACTTCGAAAGTAATGTCGTTGTTCTAATTATGATAATCAGAATGATTCATCAGTTAAAAGATTGGGTTAAAGGTAATAGAATGTGAAAAAAGTAACTATTTAACTAAGTAACTAAAGTAACTAAATAATTTTTCAGATATTTTGTTAATAATTTAATGAATAATGAAATTTAATTCATCATAAATGATTTGTTATTTTATTCAACGTAAAATTAATAACATTATTTTAAAGCTTTAACATTAGATATATATATATAATTCTATTTAGTATAAATCATAAAAGTAAGACAGTAAATTTATTATTTAAATGTTAATTAGTCTATTATAATGACTAAACTAAATTAAACTAAATTAAAACAAATATATTCTAACAAATTCGAATTGTATCATCAATTTTATCATCAAACAATTTTAAGAGAAAATTATAAAATAAGTATATAAGAGTCAAATAAATTTTTTATTTTAATATTTAATTTTGTAATATATATTCTTTCATTTACTTACATTTACACTTTATATTTTTTTTTTGTTAATTTTTAATAAAAATTTAATTAAATTTTATTATGTAAATTAAAAAAATATCATAAATTTTTATATTTTATTTATCTATTAATTTATTTGATTACATTTTCTTCATGTACATTTCAATTTAATCATAAAAAGAAATCTTATGATTAATTTTGATAACATTTGATAAAAACGAAATTGATAAGAATTATATACTGCACTTATATGAATAATAATAATCTCAAAATAAATAATGCAATATAAAAAAATAATGTATTTTTTTTTAAATTATATGTAGTATATTAATTAATTTCTTTATATATTACATTTTTAATAAATATTAAATATTTTATTAAATTAAACTATATAGTAACTAATAATAATCATTTATCAATAAAGAAAAAATATATTTATATACTTTTTGGTAAATCACATGTACAATAAATCATTTCAAATTCATATATTTATTTTTCATATCTTTTATTGCAATTACATTAAAGCAGTTAGATGATAATTTTTTCAGGAAAAAAGGAATGGATAATTTGATGATAAGTACATCAAGTAAGAATAGTTCACGCAGTACATCACCTAAGAGAAGAAATATATTAATTTCATCTCAACAATTATCAGCTACTTTGGAACATATTCCAAAAATACGTAATGTTTCACTGTAAGATCTAATTTTTTGTAGATGTTAATACATGTGCTTGCATAGATTAAAATTAAAAATTCTTATTTTTTTGTAGTATTTTACATGAAACAGAATAATTAAGCTTATGCTTCAATATGATATAATTAATGATACAATATTTTGTACTTACAAATAAGAATACTAAGTTCCTAAAAAAATAAATGAAAAGTAAATAGAAGGAGCACAGTACAAAACTAAATTTGACTTCGCAGTTCCCAAACAGGGGAGGATAGTACAGGCAGTGGAAGTAGTGGTGGTGAAGGCAGTCTCAGCATGAAAGGTAGTAGGCAAAAATCACCAGGAACTGTGATTCGAGTAGATGCTATGGATGAATCAAATACCAATTTAATCACTGCCGAACAAGATGAGTTTGTGCCAAATATTCATCTACCAACTGATGATGATGGAGTATGTATTTTAATTATAAAATAATTTTAATTTTAAAATCTTTAAAACCTTTTAATTTTTATATTTATGTTTTATTGACATTTTTATTTTTAAATATTTTTACTGATTATATATAATTCCATTTTGCAATAGTAAGAATATGTTCATAATATTTAAAATTATTGTTGAAATATTAAAATTAATAAAATTAATATTATTGTTAGCTTAATTATTTATTACAATAGCATATGATTATATATATGCTTACATAAAGTTACTTATATAATGACATTGTTATGTATAATGACAATTACATTGTATTGTAAGGTCATTAATCAGTACTGTATAATTAGAGTTACGAGTTAAGATTATGTAGTTGCATAATATTATAAGTTACTTTGAAATTGAACCTATTGATATTTATAAATCTGGAATATGATACAAGTTATTGAACAATGTGCTCAATAAAATGTGCTTTATTAGTTATAATTTGAGTTCTAATAGTTAAAATTATTATGAATTAATTATATATTTTGTGTATATTTTAATATAATGATAAATTTATTTACAGGAACAATATCATGCAACACAATCGTTCCTATCAAATGGCTCTTCTGAGTTAATAACTGATGATGTTGACTCTAATTCTGCTCGTGTTTGTCAAGCAATTGAGAACATTCAAAATAAAATTGCTAAAACACGAGAACTTATAAGAATAGAACAAACCACACGTGATGGTAATTTTCAATTATTAATAATTAATATGATACTGATATACATTATATATTAGAGTGTTACAAGATATCTATTTATCTAATATAATATAATAAATAATAATGTAACTTATAATAATTTATAATGAATGCTATATAATAATATGCTATATAATAATAATTTATTTTAAAATATGTTATAAATATAAAGTTTAATATTTTTTTAGAAAATGTCAATGAATATTTAAAATTAGCTGCAAATGCAGATAAGCAGCAGCTTACCCGAATCAAAGCAGTATTTGAGAAGAAAAATCAAAAATCAGCGCACAGTATTTCTCAACTCCAAAAAAAATTAGATAGTTATACAAAAAAATTAAAAAATTTTGAGTTGAATGGTGCACCTACAAGTCATAGACAACCCCGAGAAGTGCTTCGTGATATGGGACAAGGACTTAAGTAAATATATTTTATTCCTTATTAACATTATCTATATATTATTTTTTTTAATAATAAAAACAAAAAATAATATTAAATAATATTAAACTATTATATATATATATATAGACTTCTTTTTATTTTTATTTCAAAATATTTATTAGAATATATAAAAATATGCAATATAAAAATATGATTTAAACATTCTTGATTTAAATTTTTACACAAAAATAAATTTAAACATAAGAAATTATTTTTTAGCGCATATTTTATGTGTTATTTCTTATTTTTTAATTTATCTTTTATTATTCTAAATATAAAGTATGAGACAATATGAAACTTTCATCTAATTTAAGATTCACTTCCAGAAACGTGGGTGGCAATATTAGAGTTGGAATCAGTGGTTTTTCAGGGTGAGTATTAATGTGAAAATAGATTTCAGTATCTTCCTATCACATTATCATATTGTTATAAATTGAATTTTAAAAACTATTATTCTATAAAAAAAAAAATGAAAAATTGAAAAAGCAAAAAAAATATATTTGTATTCATAAACATAAAATTATGTATTTATAAATATACAAAATATGAAAAACATAAAAATTATAATTCTAATATATTTATTTAATAATTTAATAATTAATTTAATAATTTTTCATATAAAAACTTTTCATAATTTTTATGAATTTTATACAATTCTGAAATAATTATTTACATGTAATTTTTTTATGCATTTCAGAAGTGTAATGTCCAAACCAAGAGAATTTGCACATTTAATAAAAAATAAGTTTGGCAGTGCTGATAATATAAATACTTTATCTCGTGAGTAATATGTATTATTTTTTAAATTAATTAACATAACTTACTCAAATTATATATATTCTTTAATTTTTAAATAATATTTATTATTAAAAGTATAAAGTTTTTTGTGTTTAAAGAGCACAATTACTAAGCACATAATGGCTTATGCTAATAAATTGTGATACTACAAGCGATAGAATGCACGTTTTTTTTATTTATAATATATATATATATATATATATATATATATATGTAAATACGCATATATACTAAAATTCTTATAATTTTATTTTGGTTAATAATATTTTTATTATATTAAGAAGTTTTTGTTTGGAATAAGATGGAAATGTATTGATATAATGATTATTCATATTGTAATAATCATACAATATTTTTCCATTTATTTAAATATTGGAGAATAAATAATATTTAATATTTTGCGCTGTCGTGGCAGTTGAAAGTAGTAAGTAACATTTGGGCTAAATTTTTCTATTGTATAATTTTTTTTATATATTTTATATATTTTATAAACATATTATTATTTAGTATGTAAATCTTAATAATTTTTTTACTATGATTTCTGTTCTATTCTCTTTTACTCTATATAATAATAAAAATTATAGATTTTATATTTTATTAATAGATTTTATTTATTTTATTTATAGACAATTTTCAAATGAAAATATTGTGTTTACATTTACATTATAAATTTTATATTTTTATTATTGTTTTGTGTTACTTAATGATTTTTCCTTATCTTTAATGGCTTTTTATAAATTTTGACATATTTGCTTTCTTATATTAGTTATCCAATACATTAACAATACATCAATATAATTAAACATGTAAATAAATTTAAAAAAAAATTATAAAGAAAACAATTTTTATATTAATTTTACATAATATTTTATGATACATCATTAATGTAATTATGTATAAAAATATTTTTATTATCAGTATCTTTATTTTAAAAAAAGATATGTTATAATATGAAAAACTACATAAATTCATTAATTGTTAACAAAGGCAAGATAATTTGGTATTGGATAACATTCTAACTTGCGACGTCTGTGTCCCTGCAGATGGCTCGACTTTTTATGTAAACGATACACCGCGTGCAGGTAATGGAGATAACGCTAGTGTTGAAGATGAAAAAGCTCATCATGGTTCAGCGACGCTTCCTGGTGGATGTAGTTTGGGATCAACTCATAGTGCTGCAGCAATGAAATTTCCATCCGAAGAAGGATCCGAATGTTCTAGTGTTACAAGCGAAAGCGGACCTGGTAGTAGGGGGCAAGCACACACATGTCACAATAGTAATAATGCTGCACTTAGTCTCAAATCTATTTTCTCAGAGTTACAAGAACATAGAGAAAATCTGGAGAGAATGAAAGATAAATTAGAAGGTTTAAAGGTTTGTTTTTAATGATTTGAAAACTAAAGAACAATTAAGAAATTTGAATAAATAATAATTATGTTTACAATTTTATCAATTTCATCATTTAATTTTAGAGTTTACAACAAGAAGTGACATATCTTTCTCATGCTTTACAAGAGGAACGTTTTAGATGTGAGCGTCTAGAAGAACAAATTAATGATTTGACTGAGCTGCATCAAAATGAAGTAGAAAATTTGAAACAGACTATAACAGATATGGAAGAAAAAGTGCAATATCAAAGTGAAGATCGTTTAAGAGATATACATGAAATGTTGGAAAGTTGTCAAACTAAAATTTGTAAAATGGAACATCAACAACAGCAACACCAACAATATGTTACTTTAGAGGGTTTGGATAATAGTAATGCAAGAGCATTGGTTGTAAAGCTTATAAATGTGGTATTGACTGTGTTGCAAGTTATTCTACTTCTTGTTGCAACAGGTGCTGGTATAATGATGCCTTTTCTTAGGACTAGGTACAGTTATTTCATATTATAAATTATATTTTTATTTTTCAGAGAATAAATAATTAAATAAATTATTTAATATGTAATAATCTGTTAAAATATATTTATTTCAGCTTAAAATCTTCATAATATAAACATATAATTTAATACATATAATTTAATTCATATAATTTAAAGATATATAATTTATTTATTTCTTTTTTTCGGATCATTCTTAACTTTTTTTACTTTATATCATTTCATCTCATTTCATACTTCATCACGTACATTGCCATCTGATTTTAATTTCGCACACTTATTGTTTTATTTTGTTTTCACATCTCTGTTGCAGTTGTACTAAGCCTCATTGTTTCATGTGCAGGGTGCGCATATTAACTACTACGCTTGTTGTATTGGGCATAGTATTTGTGCTCAAACAATGGCCTGAGGTTCACGACGTCGGGAGTCACCTCATGCGCCATCTTAAACAGACGCTCGCTGTTAAGTAGCACATTGTAAGTAAATAATTACTATTTTAAAAATTGGAAATGTTTTATAAAAATTCGTGAAATTTAATATTTTATTAATTTAAAATAAATAAAATTTATTTTAGGGTTATTCTAGGGTATATTTAAATTAATCATACCCTGTAATGAAGAAAAATTGTACACATTTTGGACCTATTTATGTGCTGTAGTTTTGGAGCAATAATAGTAGGTATATGCGCAAATGACTTTATTTATATTTTAAATTCGACATTCACCATTACTATATTAAATCAGATGAATGATCAAATCTATTTGATACTGTTAACAGAATTACAATACATAAAAACATATTTTGCTGTGCAAAAATGTTTCACTTATGAAGGAGAGATTTTCTAGAGATGATAAATGCAAAGTATCATTTATCTTTTGTGCAAGTATTATAAATTTATTTACGATCTTTTTATTTTTATTTGAGCAATTTTAAAAAAGAAAAAATAAAGAGAAATATACGTATTTACTATTTAATATTACTTGCGCGCGAATAAAACAAAAACGATTATAATTTAAAATAAAATAAAATAATTTCTAATAAATAAATAAAGTATAAGAAAAAGACAGTAATAATAATGCTGTACACTGATATTGCTTGATTACATACGGCACATTGTTAGAAGAATTTACTCTAATATCGTGCGATTAAATTCATTTTTACATGAATCATTGATTAATATGAAATTAAAAAAAAATTATTGAACAAGCGAAAGTACTGATTAAAAGATAAATAAAAATTGTTTTATTATTAGTGTCTGTGGGAGGTGTTACTATCATTTTCGGGATTGTAATTCATACATTCGATATTCTAGTAATTAATTTATAGTAATTGCAAAAATTATAAATACACTCTAAATAAAATATTTGTAATTAAAATCGTCCAATTGCTAAAGAATAGTATAAATTAAAAAAGCAATAGAATATTTAGATAATTGTAGATATTCTTTATTTCAAAATGTATCATTATAAAATATATAATATATTCTTTAATATTGACAATGAGATGGTTTAATTTGAATTGTATAACTGCATCACTTATAATTTAATACATTCATATATAATTTAAATACATTCATGAAAATATAAAAACAAGAAAACTATTTGAACAAACATTTATATAATATTCAGAAGAGGACCAACATTTTTTTTCCTCTTATTCTATAATGTTGATTTATTTCATATAAAAAAATACATCTTTGGAAATAAATAGCATCATTTATTATGTTTAATAATCTTAAATCAATATTTCAAACCACCACAGACACAAATATGCGTGCATATTATATTGAATATAAAGAAATGAACCATGACACAGATGTTGAAATGAGAGAAAGACTGATGGATTACATCGCTGTTACAATTGTGAGTAATATGATACTTGTGGCAATTTTATATTGCTATTCATTGAAAAAGTGTTGAAATGGTAAAAGGATTGAAAAGAAAAAAAAGAAAAATAAAAAAAAAATCACCATAATTAAAATAGTACAATTATATGAAGAAAAATGATTCTTAAATTAATATAGGTGCTCAAATCTACGAGTGTATAAAATATTTTGGTTTATATAATTTTTTGATTTTATTGTCATTATTGGCAAAATATCATTTATTTCATTAATTTTGTAATTTTTGATTTCCTCAAGTACAGTGTCATGAATTATCATAAGATTTAACAGTTCAATTATTTTATGCATATAAAGAAAGGCAAACAAAGAAATTATTTTTTGGTAATAAATATTATCTTTTTATCGCTTAATATGTAAAGTTTTCTTTATATATAAATAATACATATAATTTCTAATTTGTATTAAATTCGAACATTAGCATTTTTATTATTTGTATATGTTGAATTATGTAATATTATCATTTTGCTGACCATTAAAAAATTACGAGAACTCGTTATTAATCGATAGATAAAATCTGTAAATAAAATAAACTTTCTGTATTTCATTTTTTTATGCCTGTTATTCGTGAATACAACATCAAATTTCCTATTTTTTTATTTAAGACTACAGTTCTTCAAAAAAATGTTATTTACATATATATATATATATATATATTATCATTCTTTATATTTTATTGTTACAATCACTTTTATAATATTTGTTAAACATAATTTTTCTAATATTTATGTATGCGAATACTGCCACGAATATAATATAAAAGATAAAAATTAATAATTTACAAAAGATACAAAAACTATATAATTAAAATTTTATATACATATTGAAGATCAAAAGAAAAAGGAAGTTTGATCGTGTATTTATAACTTCATCAGGCAAGATTTTATATTTCAATATACTGCGTATATTCTTTTTTATTTTCTCAAATTGACTTTCTTTATAAATGTATTTTAAAAATTTATTCAATATTAAATTTATTAATAACTATAATAATGTTTCCTTCGAATCCTCTTGCGTTCCTAAAAATAGTTTTTTATGTCTATAAATTTATAAATACGTCGCTGTGACTATACTAAGTTTATAATAAAAGCGTATAAGTTAAAAATCAGTTTTGGGATCAATATAATTATATTTATATGTATATGTAAAATTTTGAAACAATTTTTTGTCTGTATTTATACTAAAATTCACAAAAAAAAAAAATAATTATAATGATTGAGAATAATAATATTTCGAAAATAATGTATATATTTGTTTATATTAATTCTATTGGATTCGATGTTATATTGATTCTGTAAAAAGATTTCTAATTTTACGTTGTTTGAATCAAATTATGATTAAAAATATATGCTTATTATTGTGTAAGTGACTAGACAAAATATATAGGGTGTTCAGTAATGCGCTTATATATTACTACAATTATCACCACTGCATAACTTTTTTTTGAGATTAATTGTTATTTATTATTAATTAACAATATTTATCTTTAAAAGTTATATGCATAAACAAATGATGAAGAAATATAAAATGTAAGAATTGTACGTCCGATTCCCTATTTGTAGTTATATATTAAACAAACACCCTATATGTATTGTATAGCTTTAGATCGTGGTGCTTTGTAAGATACATGTATAATCCAATTATTAGAGAATTTGTTAACGTTATTGACCACTGATTTAGCGAAGGCCCCTATTTGCACGTTTACAAGAACGTTTATATAGTAATATTTGGACGTAACAAAACAGAAAAAGAAAAAAATTAAATCAATATATATATATATATATATAGATATAAAAGAATATTATAAATATATAAATATTTATATAAACAAAAAATTACAGCAAAACATGCCAAACAACGATGGACATATTTTGTATCTTACATTTTTCTATAAGTTTTTCTTTTTATCGTGGCTATTTACAATTTTATATGTATTTTGTATTAACAAAGCTTCACGAAGAAATGTAAAGAATTCTTAAATAAGTTGCGACAAAATTAATATAATTCTGGAATTTACTAATCATTGCTCACGTCTCTTGTAATTTTAGGGGCCCGCTATAAAGTTATACTTTAGAGAAAAAATAATTTTAAAAATAAATATATTATCATTGATGCCTTGCCTAGGTAGTTAATGTCAAATTATAGATTAAATATTTGTTGTCAATTGTAGAATGATGTAGAAAATAGAAACAGCGATTATAATGGAAATTGTTATCACGCTAGGCAGCATACACATGCATATATATGTATATTATGCATACACGTGAATACATATGTATTAGTTGCATAACAAATCAGTGTAATAATGTAGTTTAAAGACACAAATAAGTTTGTCTTTAAAAAAATCAACATACGTGCATAATGCCCGTATTATGTTATTGCTGCTAAATATCAATTTCAAAATCAATATAAATTTAGCAGCTCTTGTCATTAATATTATTATTTAATACCGTTTCGAAATAAAAAAAATTTTTAATAAAATTGAAATTTTCTTTGACCTTATTATGAATAATTTGTTACTATATTTCAGAGTTAAAATATGTAATAAATAAAAAAATTTTAACACAATGTGCGTTTAGGTATATAAAATTAAAAAATAACACTAGTAATTGTAAAGTTTTTTATATTTTTTCAAGAAGATTTGTCAATAATAATATTACAATCACAATTTTACAAATAATGTAATCACTTTATTATTATATATCACAATTTCTACTATGTATAATGCTGAAAGCTGTTTTTGTTTAAAAGAGAACTGCAGAGATGCCGCAAGAATATAATGTTAAAGGTGATTATATAATTTTAGACATTTTTATATATAAATTTTAAAAATTATATTATTAATGAAATAACCACCATTTCATAGCATTTCTTTGCAGTAAAAGTAGCTATCAGCCTTTAATTCGATAAATAATATTTTAATGTTTTATTGGTATTAATAAGAAAATATTTTATTTTCCTTATGATAATCATATTTTTTACTACATAGTTAATAGACGTTGCATTAGATTGCTTTTTTTGTGATGTTTATAACAAGTTATAATGCACACAGAACATAAAATGTAAATTCTCATGTGATAATTAAAACGAATGATTTTTCTAATATACTTTAATATGTTGTAAATAAATAACGTGTTAATATAATACACGTTGCATTTTTTTTTTAGAACAATGTTAATGAATAAATAAATTGATTTATCTCAATTTTATTTTGTATGTTCAAAAATTATTAAATAATTTGAGCTTTTTGTAAAAATAAACAAATATTATTTGATCAGAAATTTAAATTACATAATGTACTCCTATTAAATTTCTAAAATATATCATTGAAAAAATTTATTATCACAAGCTAGAAAATAAATTCTATAATGCAAATACATACATTGATTGTAAAAGCTTGTAAATAATATTTATCGTTATTATAACTTAAAATTCATAATATTTTATAGTTCAATAACAATAATTATTGATTATCGAAAGATTCTAGAGCAAAACAAATTGCAAATAAAAAAAGTAGATATTTTAAAAATAGCAACATATTTCGGTAAAATATATACCGATATAAAAAAGACGATAATGTAAATAATTATTTAATTTTATTTTCTATACCTATAAGTGACTTTAGAAAACATTATCTCTTGCAAAGAATTCTCGAAAATATATTCTTTGTGTGTATACAATTTAACGTATAATATGCTACAGTAAAGGAATACATCGTGGTGACTAATGCCGCTTCCTATAAAATGCAGACTTGATATTTTATTTTCTATTATCGTGCATTGTTTATATTTATTTCGATATTTCCCAATATTTGATTATAGGTTTCAATCTGCAGTAATTTGAATTCCTTCTTGAGAATCTCGAAGTACAATTTCTGCTGGTAAAATATTTTTCATTTCATTTTTACGAGGAACTGGTTCATCCTTTTGCACGGGAGGTGTACCATGGTGTTTTTTTTTATGACACATCATAGTTGATCTCGATACAAATGTTTTACCGCATGCATCACATTCATATGGTCGTTCTCCAGTATGTAATCTTTTGTGAATGGCCATAGGAGTAAATTGTGTAAATGTTTTACCACATACATCACATCTGTAAGGCCGTTCTCCGGTATGCAATCTTCTGTGACATCTTAATGCTGCTCTTCTGGCAAATACTTTTCCACACATATCGCATTTAAAGCTTTTTTCTCCTGTGTGCATTGTCGAATGAATTTTGAGATCAACTCTTGTTAAAAATCCTTTACCACAAACTTCACATAAATATGGTTTTTCACCAGTGTGAATACGTAAATGCGTGTTAAGATAACTTTTACTAACGAACATTTTATTGCATACCACACATGGATATTGGCGATTATCCATACCTGAATGAATTTTTTGATGACTTTTACAAAGTCCTTTAGTTATAAAACCTCTACCACAAATTTCGCAAACATATGGTTTAACACCAAGATGTCTGTTTTGATGATCCAACAAAGATTGTTTTGTTTTAAAATGCTGTCCACAAGTATTACATGGAAAAG